AGACAGATAACTATCTTCTTCCTATTCTTCCACTTTTTTCTTCCCTTTTTGTCTTACCTGTTGTCTTTCAGACTCTGGTCTGTTTTCTTGTTCAATTCTATTTGCTTACCAACCCGGCTTTCCTTCTGTAACCTGTGAGGATTGACAGGTCTGTGGTGTCCTGTCCTGTTAGCAAGCTGCTGATAATAGTAGAAGCAGTGTTACCACTTCTGTTTTGTTTCCTTTATCTGTAACTTACTGCCTGGGAATTTGCAACATTTTAAGTCCTTTGTGCCTAGATGCTCTGCACCAGCAGTGGTCTGGGGAGACTGAATTCCTAGTCTGCAGGAGCTGCTTCTTCCTTGGTGGTTTACAGCCGTATCCAAACCCAGTTTGGATTCTAGCATCATGTCCCTGAGCAGGCCCACCTCTGTGGGATCTCAAAAAACAGTAGGAGTTGTGAGACATTTAGGAGTCATTTCTATTTACTTCTTCTCTCTGCAGGTCTAGTTTGGGATTTGAAGGCTTGGCAGGTTTTTTAGTTGCTAATGCTCTTTTGAGATGAAGAAAATCTAAATCTAGGCTACTGTTTCAGCATCCTCAGGCAGAATACAAATCACTAGTTTCTTCTGAAAAGATCTTTAGTTTCCTTCTTGTCTAGGTAACATGGCTTGGTCATACATCACAGCTACTATACTTGGAAAAACTCAGTGAGTCAGTGCGTTTGCCTTTCACTTTTGTGAAGCTATCTGTAGATTTAGACTTTAAGAAAAAAATAAATGTTCTAGCCTCTGCAATAATTAACATTGTTTGTGTGGGAGATGAGTGAGCTTTTTTTTTTCCTGGAGTTAAGCTGCCTTCACTAGTACTTGAATATCTGTTTTCTCAAGGTTTTAAACCCCCTGCTTCTATATAAGCTTGGTCACTCAGATTGTTCTAGTCTGTAAATAACATACTCTTCTGCTTTACATTTGTCCTAGGAGTGAAAAGCCAGCAGTGGTCAGAAGAGGCGTCAATAATGTTTCGGAATCGAGTAGAGAAGAAACCCTTGGTGGCGCAGATACAGGCAATTAATGAAAGTACTAACTCTTGGGATCGAAAAATAGTGACTTACTTAGTGGACACGTCTCTTCCAGATATTGATACGTGGATTCATGACTTTGTGTCTCAAAGTCTTGCGGAACTTTCAAAAGCTGATTAATCACCACTTCTGAAACGTAGCGGCTCAGATTCTTTAGCAATAAAATAAATTAACAGGCTTTGAAGAGAAATGTAACTTCTTACATTGCCTTGATGACATGAAGGGTATGAACTTGTGAAATGTGTGTTCAGTGAAAAAGATTTGTTTAACAAGTTTGGGTTATATTGACTTCAGGTTGACTTTATGAAAAATTGCACTTTTGTTTACCACTGAAATGATAGAGTTTGGGTGAAAATACTAAAAAAGTTATTTATCAATAAAACAATGGTGACTTGTTCTTGTGATCTTTCCCTGAGTGGGGGGGAGGCATATGTCATAGTTGGTACTTCTAACCATTACTGGATACTACTCCCGTGTTGTTTTTTGTTTTTTTTTTTTTTTTAACTAGAATTTTTATTGCTTGGGAAACAAGGAAGCAGTCCTCAATGTTTTTGAATTTAGTGACTGAGGTGTGCATTTTTGATGGGTTTTTCCCCCTTCCTTAGCATGCTAAGAATTGAATAGTTGAAAATGCCTTGTTTGGGGCAGGGGAGTTTGCCTGGGATTATAGGACCTAACTTTCACAGAAGGGTATGGAGTTCCCTGTGCTTACTAGTCTGGATGCTGTTTGTTAGGAATGATACTACTTTTCTGAATTCTACCCCATTTCCTCTGCTTGCTAAATTCAAGGCATTCCTTTCCCTCCTTTTCTAATAATTTGTTTTCTTACTTGTTTCTGAGAAACTTTAAACAACTGCTTTTCCCACGAGGCAGGAGCAAACAATGTCCCATAAGCACACAGATGATTGCTTTGAACACAGTATTTTTGCCTCCCTTCAGATTGTGAGGACCTTGGTTTTTAGAGGTGGTGTAGATATTATTATAGTTGATGGCCTGCTGCCTGCATGGGTAAGAGAAAATGGACAGAAACATGCGGTGCCTGTGTAACAGCAAGATGGGAGAAAATGCCTGCGGAAGCAGTGGGTGACATTGTACTACAAAGAAAGCCAGAGACTGTGGAGCCCAGCACCCAAAGACATGCAAAAGGATGGTATCGTCTGCCTCTCTGGGTTGCCAATGTGTCTAACCTCTTAAGATTTCCATTGATTTTTTTTTTTTTTTTTTGCATGCAACACTGCGTGTTACCTGGTATATACAGCTTCTGGTTGCCGTTTTAGCAAGGTTACTATCAGGCTTACAAGAGCTTTCAGCTGCTTTTAATTAATCATTCTTCCAGGATTTTTTATAGTTTCTCCTTCCTCAGCTGCAAAGGTGATGAATGTAGGTAAAAGAATCAAAGTGATCTCCAGCTGCCGTAGGATAAATATTGATGTAAAAGAGTTTTCTTTCTACGTAGGACTGCTGCTGAGCCAAAAAATCCGGATGGTGTGGGTCATTAGGATGAGAAAAGCACTTTCCTGAGCTTCTGGAGAGTGGGAGAGCTTTCTTGTGTGCCTAAGAGCATATGACACCTACACCTGCAAGCTTGCAAATGTTGCTGGAAAAGTTTAATGGCACAGGGTAATTTTGTGGAGCTGTAGTGAAGTTTGTCGGGTTGTTCGAAGAATACCTGGGCTGTGTTTGCACACTATGAGGTTTGCTGATCTGTTGTTGGCCAGGAGTAGACGTGCACCTGCAAAGTGATGGAGTGGAGCAGACCTGGGATTTACGCTTGTAGTAGCAGGGGGAGCAGCCTGGTAGATGCTCAGGAAATTAAGATGCTTTTTGAGCTGCTTGTCCTATCCTTCTAGGGTATGCTTCACTGTCTCCCTGGTTATAGCTGGCTGCTCCAGAGTCCAAAAAGCCCAGACACGAAGCAAGGAGAACATTCACTCAGTCTCACTGCCTTTACGCTGGAGCCTTCAATTGGGCTGGTTGTGACTGTTATTTTTCTGAAGTTATTTTATATTTTCTGAAGATATTTTTCTTCCTTGGAGCCGGTGTGGCGCTGTGTTTTGGATTTGGGATGAGAGCAATGCTGATAACACACCGATGTTGCTGCAGGGCACAGATTGCAGAGAGCCAAGGACCTTGCTTTCTCACGCCACTCTGCCAGCAGGCAGGCTGGGGGTGCAGCAGGAGCTGGGAGGGGACAGAAGCAGGACAGGTGACCCAAACTGGCCAAAGGGATGTCCTGGGCAGTGTGGCATCATCTGGGGGCATAAAACAGGGGGGGAGAGGGGGCTGCTGCTGCTTGGGGAGCAAACGGATATCAGTCAGGGAGTGGTGAGCCATTTCACACCTTTTTACTCTTTTTTTCCTTTTCTTTGGTATTTCCCTTCTTTCATGCTAAACTCTCCTGGTCTCAGCCTCCAAGTTCTTGCACTTCTGCCTTTTTCCATTTTCTTCCACACCCTGCTGCACTGGGGGGGGAGCTGCTGGGGTTAACCCACATCAGTCTGCACCCAGCGTGGGGCTCGGAGGGTTGGGGTGTTGGTATGCCTGACTGAAGTGCGACAGAGGTCAAAACTGTTTATAACATGATATAATAATGATATTTGTTTAATAATTGCTGGCTGTAATGCTGATCTATTCACTCACGACGTTGCTTTATGCATCCCCCTCCTCGCTGTACGCCCCGGTCACCCCCGGCGGCTGGTTGAAGGTTGGCGGCGGTGCTGTCAGCTCGCTGCACTGCCCGACCCTCGCTTATCTCACGATAATCGCACGATACAAGCGCTCAGCCATCGGTGCAATCCCTCAGTTGTGCCTCACCGCAGCCTCGGTGCGTGGAGCCCACGGGGGGGCTCCCTTGCGGGGCAGGGAAAGGAGGGGAGGGGAATGGAAGGGGAGAGGAGGGCGGCTCCGAGGGGAGTTGCCGTGGCTCTGGGGAAGGGGTGGGCGGCCGGGGGCCTCTCCCCTCCCCTCCCCGCCCCGCTGGGTGCCGGGCCGGGCCGTGCTGTGCTGTGCCGGGCCGGACCCCCGCCCCCCGGCTCGGCTCGGCTCGGCTCGGCTCGGCTCGGCGGTGCTGCGGTAAGCGGGCACGGCTCGGATCTTGGGGTCGGGACGGGGCCGAGGGGCTGCAGCCTGTCCCCCCCCGGCATGGGGCACCTGCTGCGGGTGGAGGAGCCTCTGCCCGTGCCCCCCGCTGGCTGTCAGGGCTCCTCTCCCCCTGCCCTTCCTTGGGCACGGCTGGGCTGGGGGTCGCTGCCGGGGGGGTTTCAGCCGGGGCGAGCCCTGGGCGCGCAGAGCCTTGCCCCCCTCGTCCTTCGTCTCTGCTGCCTTCCTGACGGCTTTCCGTACAAATCCTGGTTTGTTTTTGTTTTTTTTTGGCGAACACCTGCTTAAAGTTGTGGTGGGGTCAGCTCTGATCAGTTTCTGTGTGCTGTGCGTGCGGTTTGTTGTGGTGCCGCCTGAGCGAGGACTATGGGTAGGTTTAATTAAAAGTGACCAGAGATCAACGCTGCGGGCTTCGGAAGGCACCGAGGACACGCCTGGTGGAAAGGACCTGTGGTGAACCGGGTTAATCCTCTCCCAAACTCCCAGAAGTGGCTGGAGGAGCATCCAACACACGGCTCCGTGCCTGCGGGACATCTCTCCCCTGGACAGGGACAGAGATGGAGGTGCACGAACACAGCTCCTCACGGTCTGTGAGCCTCCAGGTCGGGGTCCCCGGGACCTCCTGCCTCCCAGCTCTGCCCTGATAAGCCCCTGATAAGCGAGGCATCGCGCCCAGGTGGCGAGTGGCAGGAATGTGGGGACAGCGGGCGGGCGCGCCAGGGGAGGCCGAGCCTCGCAGCAGATGACGGCTCTAAATTTAAGGGCTCGCTGTCGAGCCGCTACGCGTTAATGTGCCCTTTCGTGGGCAGGCTAAAGATAATTTTCCTATCTAGAGCCGCAGCTGCCTTACAAGTCCCGCAGGAAGGAGCGCTCAGGTCTGCAGCCTCGTGGGGATTTGCAGGGCTCGGAGGGACTCGGCGATGCTGCACATCTCCTCTCCCTCCTGGCCGCAGCAGTGCCACGTGCACAGCGGTGCTCCCAAGGGTGGGTGAGCTGCAGGCTTTACCACCTGTGGCTTATTGCCCCCAAAAAGATGAATTGCCTGGGATGTTGTGTTAACACCCCGCATTGCTTGGGTGTCCCCAGCCAGAGCCCCGTGCTGATACATCCCCTGCGAGTCCGTGGTGGGGCGAGCATCACGCTGCTCTCCTGGCCCTGGGTTGCTACGTGCATCTGGAAGTGGGCAGGGGGGCCCTGAGCAATCTGACCTGGCTTCGGAACCAGCCACGCTTTGGGCATAAATCTTGCGCAAGTCTGAGTCCGTGATAGCCAGCGTTCCCCCACCAGCAGGGCTGCGGGGTCATGTTTCATGCATTCACGGCTACGCTCCGTGTTTTCATTTCAGGTCCTGTTTCGGCGTGAGAGTGATATTCGCCGGACTGCTCCAAGATGTCTTACAGAAAGGAGCTAGAGAAATACCGGGACCTGGACGAAGACAAGATTCTTGGTACCCTGACGGAGGAGGAGCTCAGGCAGTTGGAGAATGACCTGCAAGAGCTGGATCCTGATGTAAGTCGTCTCGAAATGAGGCTTGGGAGGTGGTAAATCCCACATAGCTGTGGGCAAATGTGCTGCATTAGTAACCTGTGCCTCGGTGGGGTCCTTTGCAGAGCCTCTACTCGGTGCAGGGATGGGACAGGCTGGCCCCAGACGGGCAGGAGCAGTTGTGCTCCTGCACCGTGAGCACAGGCTCTATGTGGGGCTTTGTTTTTGCCGTGTCCCCCTGCCCGTGCCTAGGATGCATGCTGTGGTGTGACCAGCACCGTACTGGTCTCTGGCCCAATAATTAAATTGACAGTCTTTTGGAGTAAAACCTGCTGATAGTTTTGGTGTTGTACACCGCTTTTTGCAGCAGGGTGCTTGGGCTTACACCATCCTGACACCCTTATATTTTAGGAAGACCTACCTTGATATTTAGGAATCACTGCTTCTCATCAGGCCACATTCAGGCAGTGTTTTGGGTTTTATTGGCTGGGTGCTTCTTTTCACAGCAAACTCCAAATGTCCAGTATTTTCCTGTCTGCAGTCAGAAAAGCAAACCCCCGAGCTCTGCAAACTGGGCCGGTTGCTCTCTAGCCTCCCAACATCATCTGGAGCTGCACAAATGCAGATGCTGGGCCTGCTGATGCCAAACAGTGAAAACATTTTTGGAGGCAAGGCTGTGCTGTGGCAGGGGCTGCGCGGAGCCAACTGGCAGGCCTTTGGGTTACGGCAGCGTTAGATGATGAGGCTGGGCACTGCCAAGTGAGAAATTGTTCCTGCAACATGCGGTTAATGCTTCGGGGGGAAATGATGGGCAGTGCAGATTGCATCATCAGTGCTTTTAATTGCAGTGCCAGCACAGGAGAGTAATTAAGAGGAGGCAGGCTGCCTCCCAGGATCGTGTCTGCGTGGTGGTGGGCTGGTTACAGCTGGCCCAGGAGATGTGGAGATGGACAGGGTTCTGTGAAAGGTGTGGAAAGGTAAAATAATGGTGACAGCCCTGCCGTGCAGCTGTGGCCTGGGTACCCGAGCTGCATCCCCACCTTGCACAGCTTGAAGCCTGAGCAAGAAAGCTGTTCCTTACGCCTCCTGGCTGGTGCGTTAGTGGTGTGCTGCTGAGTGGCCCACCAAGGTTGGCTGTGGCTAATTACTTGCTATTAGTAATCATTCTTCCCAGGCTTTTCACTGAAGCAGATTTAAGTTACAGTGAATTACTGAGGTGGGCACAGAAAAGTCAGCATGTTGTTGAAAATCACCTTGGGTGTCTTAAGGAAAACAAATGTTGCCTTCTGTCCAGCAGAGCTTTAAAGAACACGCTTAGTGTCAGATCTGGGAACAGACTTATTGCATTAAGGCTGTTCTATATTTAAATATAAGCAGGTGCATACGTGCCGTATGTGTCAGGCACAAAGCAACTTCCTGCGGCGGCTGACGTGGCAGAGTAACGAGGAGGCAGCTTGGAAAAAAGGGCTGGGGCTCTGGGGCTGTGGAGCTGCAGGCACCACCGTCCTGGCCTGTGGACCACCACAACCCTCTGCTGGAAAGACATGGGGATTTTTCCAGGCTGATGTTCATGGGACCAGGGGGCACAGCCCCCACCTCCAGTGGGGTCCTCTGGCCCATGGACAGACAGATAGGGAGGAGATCTGCTGAGCTTAGGAGGTATCAAAGGTGGTGAGCACGTGGGAGGAGGCTAAAGGAAGAGCAGGAGGGGATGGCTGAGAGCCCCCAGAGAGAAGGACGGAGCTGATGTTGTGGAGAAGCATCCACCTGGCAGCGTGGAGATCTTGCCCGTGGAGCTGGTGTCTGAACTCTCGTGCTGGGGGAGGGAAGGAGCATCGTGTCTTAGCAGAGATGGGAGCCGCTGGGGCTGGATGGAGACAGGTTCTGAGACTTTGAGAAGTCCAGCAAGTGTAAGAAAGGCGATGCAAGAGGAGAGGTGGGTAGGGGTGAGTGTGTGAGGGATGCAGGCCTGCAGAGATGACCCGTGTTTCTCCCCCCGTGCCCAGAACGCGCTGCTGCCGGCAGGGCTCAGGCAGAGGGATCAGACGCAAAAGCCACCAACTGGCCCGTTCAAAAGGGAAGAGCTCATGGCCCACCTGGAAAAGCAGGCAAAAGACGTTAAAGACAGAGAAGACTTGGTTCCTTTCACAGGCGAAAAGAGAGGTATGGTCACCCCTCACACCCCAGCACGAGCACCTGGGCATGTCAAAACTGCACAGCCCCTAGTGCAGCCTTCCTCAAAGCTTCCTGCCCCTTCTTAGCGATCCCTGTGCCTTGCTGAGGGAGAGCTTGTTTTACAGCATTTTTATTTAAAAAAATGAGTTCTCCTTGAATGATGCAAACAGAAAGATGTCACTGAGCTCCATCAGGAAGATGTAGCAGCTTTGAGCATGCCTGAGCCCGGCTGTGGTCACCAGCCTGGCCAGGACGGCAGCAGGAGGCAGCACTCAGCCAGAGGCGTTTTGGGTTTTTCAGCTTCTGTGCTGAGTTAATTATAATTCAATCCGATGCAATCTCAGACACGTTAAACATCATTTCACCTGCGACAAGCTGCTGAGTGAAGGCACGGTTTGTGTCGAGTGTCAGCCAGAGACGGTGAATTACATTTTTATTCTACAGTATACACATCATATGTATGCACATATAAATATATTATATATATTTATGTATAAAATACATATATTTTTAAATTACATGCTGCCTATTTTTGCAGAGCAGCTGTGGCCCCTCCGGCAGGAGATGAGCGGTTTCGCCCGGCGCCGTTTATAGCCGCCTCCATCTCTCTCCGGGAGAGCCCGCCGTGCAGTTGCTTCTTCCTTGGGGCTAAATTTAGCTGCCTCTGCGTCTGCACAGCCCCGAGCGGCTGGATTGTTGTTTCTCCCCTCCGGTGTTGCTGACTCTGGTTTCAGAGAGGGGACGAAAATAGCCCCGGCTGGTATGCCAGGCCCTGCGCTCGCTATCTCCCTGCGGCGATGCGGGGCTGCTGCAGGATGCTGTCTGCCCTGCTGCTGGTGTCTCCTCACAGCCTCCTCCTGGCCAGCCGTGGTGGAGGTGTCCCTGCCCAGCACGTGTCCACCTTCAGAAGCCCAAGGGTGGCAGAGGGGAGCTCTGCTTGCTGCTTGTCCCTGCTCCGCTCGTGGGGGGGTGGCAGTGCTCTGAGGGACAGCACTGGATCCAGGCCACCGTCCTCCCTTGGTCCACCCAAGTGTTGGCAAACCTGCATCCCTTTTACATTTCTCCAAGCAGCCTTCAAAGAAGTGAAGTCCTACCACATCAGGCTGTGCTTTCAGAGCACCATGCGTTGAAAAGTTGCTCTGTATGAAAGTAACACAAGGCTGCTGCAGGTACCACCACCACACTGATAAAAGCATCCTGCTCCACAGCCGGAGGTGCCTGGCCCATTGCCCCCTGTCACATTGCAGCAGGACACAGACCTGCTAACAGGAAGGGGTTCTTCATCTGCTCTGATCTTTTATCTAGGTCCTTGTGCCCCCCTGCCCTTTCCACCCCGCTCTGTGGTGGCGGGACGGGTGCTGCGGCTGTGCTGAGCATGACCTCACTTTGCATTTGCAGGGAAAGTTTGGATCCCTAAGGAGAAGCCGATGGATCCTGTTCTGGAAAGCGTGACTCTGGAGCCGGAGCTGGAGGAAGCCCTCGCTAATGCCTCTGATGCAGAGCTCTGTGACATTGCTGGTAAAACAGCTACACGTGACGTGGGGTTTGAGTTATTTAGCTACTGATTTATCTTTGCTCTTTTGTGGGACGTGAGCTATTGAGCTCTCTGCTGTTTATGTGAATGCCGTCGGTTTTGACAGGATTTGTTTCTTCGTAAAAAAGGAAACATATATTTAGAGTTACTTCCAGCCCAGCACCCCCGTGTGATTCACTCAGGAGCACGGACCGGAGCTGAGGAGGGAGAAGCAGGATTTATCCACGGGCTCTTTGTTTCTCTTTTCTCTGCCACTGAACCTAGCAAACTGCAGCCTGTAGCCCATCTCCTTTGGGAACACAGCTCCCTTTAAGCCAAACCCTTGGGAAACAAATCAAACAGACACGGTGAAACATGAATTTCTTGTTCTATTAATGGAGCTGTCAGGCTGGGGTCTTCCAAAGTATGGTGTGCCATTCACTGGAGCAGCCAAGCCCCGTGCAAACCAAGAAGGACAGGCATGGTCCCTGCTCTGAGGGGTTCTACCTCTTGTTTTGGTTAAATTCAAGCATTGCCTCATTGCTGCTTTGCAGGCTGTGGTGTCTGAGTGGAGGAGACCCCCAGCAAGCCTCCTTGCTTGCTGCTTTAGAGAATGCAATGTTGGTATCTTGGCAAAGCCAGCAGCGTGGACATATCTCTGTGGCTGAGACCAAAGCAGTGCGTGAACACCTCTCGGTTGCTTTGCCAGGCTCACATCCCATGCTGGTCTAGCTCCCGATGGGTAATTCAGTGCTTCTGGCTTCTTCCTCCAGTTCTGTCTCCTTCTGATGTCTGTACTCTGCAGCAGTGTCCTTTCTGCTGCGAGATAGCCTGTAGGATAACCACACCACACAGGCATCTTCCACGCAGTAATAACCACCTTCATGCTCAGAAATGCATTTCTGCACGAGGGCTTCCAGTGCACTTGCCCTGGCTGAGCATTGTGTCTCTTGGTTTTGCTCTTTCACTCTGCCCCTAACATCCTGTAAAGCACTTCTCTCTAAAATCCATCTTTCTAAGCCCCAGACCTGTGAAGCAATTACTTTCACCTAGAAATGCTGCTGAGGGCACTTTGTTCTGCAGGCCTGGGGGGAACACACTCGAGAGCTGATGTGATACAAGCTGTGCTGAAGGCTCAATATTGACAGTGTTGCTTTTCCGAGTTTGCCAAGGCTGTGAAACAGCTCCTGCCTATTTAGCAGGGCTCGCTGTCAGCCGTGGCACATTGGCTCCCTTCCTTGGCAAGCCCGGTAGGACAGCTCTTGTGGGTGGCTCCCAAAAAGTCCTGGAAGGGTTTCTGTGCCTTTGGTCCACCGGGGGAGGCAGAAATGGGATGTCTTCATTTGGCTTGTGTGCTCGTGGATAATGCACGGTAAGCACCAGACTTGACAATGCTGCGGGTCACTGTCATCTACCAGCATGAACTCTACCTCAGCAAGAGAGCAGAAGGGCAAAGCCACGTGGCTGTAATAGCAAATCCTTCCCCTGCTTGCAGCCCAGGTGTTTACGGTCCTGGCTGGTAGAGGGTTTTTGTTGTCGCACCAAGCTGCACATGGGGGGGTGTCAAAAGTGCTGAGCCTGCGAGTTACTTTTGGTCTTTTCTTTGTTTTAACTGCTGTGCCCGTCCCAAGGTCAATACTTGTTCATATGTGCCTGTATACGACAAGTGTCCACATGCCTGCATTTTTCTGCAGGAAGTCATATAGTTATTTTAAAATAATAATAATAATAATAATTTAAAAAATCTCAAAACCTGGCGTGGCATGTGCCCAGGTGAGCGGGGTGATGAGGATGTGCAGGCTCCTGCTGGCCTGGACCCTGAGATTAAATCCTGGTGATGGCATTTTTTTTTTTCAGTTTTGTCTTCCCCGCTGTGTTTTCACATGGCCCTGGGTTGAGGCTGGTGCTGGGAAGCCTTGGCTGTTTGTTTGCTGTCCGTGCAGCATTCCTCTTCTCTGAGTCAAGCTGTACTGGCATGAATAAGGGTGCATTTGAGCCCTGTTGTGTGTCTGTGACAGCTGGGGGTGGTCCCACCTTTGTGCCTTGCTTTGTGCCGATACAGAAAAATGCAGTATGCTGCTGGCCCCATCCTGGGCAGCACGGGCACGAGCGTCTTCTCCTGGCTGTGGAGCCCGCAATAACTCGAGGTTTTTCTCCTTTCCTTTTGCCTGTAGCCATCCTTGGCATGCACACCTTGATGAGCAACCAGCAGTACTACCAGGCACTGGGGAGCAGTACTATCGTGAACAAAGAAGGGCTTAACAGTAAGTGATCCAGAGCGCGTCGCAGGCTGCAGCCTTTCCCTGCCAGCTTGGACACAGAGGCAAAGTGGGAATTATTTTTAGGCTGAGGGTTGGGCTTTTATTTTTGCTGGACTCCTGCCACCCCTGCCACGCTCGTGTGTGAGCAAAGACCCCTTCCTTGGCTGGCACGCGAGTGCTACAGCTGTCCAGCTCTGGGCTGGTGCCTGCCAGGGAGGCGCTTCCTCTGCAGCCTGCCATCTCCTGGTGTTTGCTGGGGAGATGGGATGTTGCCCCTTCCCAGGGGAGCCGTGTGGGTGGATGTGATTCCTCCCAGAGACAATTCACACCTCACCTAGGGAGATTGCCTAGAAACGTTAATCCCCTTTGAGCAGAAAAGGTGTCTCCTGGGCAGTTGTTCCTGCCAAAATCATTTCTTGCTGCCAAAAGTCAAGCACATCACTTTCCAAAGGAGGTGGGAACATCTATTCTGTCTTTCCAAATGAAACCTGAGAGGAGAGGACAGGAGCCCCTCAGAGGAGTGGTGGTGACGTCCTGTGCTCCCAGAGCTTGCCTGGCTGAGGAAGCTGCTGCACCAGATCATCCCTGATCCCCACTCAGACACTGAGCCATTGACCACAACCCTTCGGATGCAGGCATCCAAACACGGGTGGCATGCCTGCCACTGGCTCTGGTCCCTGACAGCACACAGCAGCAGGCACCAGCTGCCCCGTGCTGGTTGCCCCCAGTGCCAGGCAGCATTTCAGGACACACATGAGTGTGGGTAGGTCTGGCAAGAGCTTGTGCAGTCTTTTGTCTCGTGTCTGCCTCTCAGGTTGTATGTTCCTCCCAGTGCTGCTCCGGGAAGGCAGGCAGCACACCTAAGGGGGATGTGCTGCTGCTCTGGCTAATTCTGGTTTTGCCCATCTTGCTTTTCACCTGCAGGCGTTATTAAACCCACGCAGTACAAGCCCGTTCCTGATGAGGAGCCGAACTCGACGGATGTGGAAGAAACTCTGAAAAGAATCCAGAGCAACGATCCTGACCTTGAGGAAGTCAACTTTAACAATATCATGGTATGTCCTGCTCTCCTCTCCCACCAACAGCACCACACAGAGGGCAGAGCCCAAGCCTGCTTTGCTGCGCAGGGTATTAATGCCATGCCACTGCGTGTAGCCAGGCAAGAAGCCCCAGCGCTTCCCACCTTTTGGGCAGGAGGCATTGCTGCCTGCTGTGGGATAATGATGTGGAGCTGGTGGCAGGAGAGTGCCGTCAGCTGCCTGGAGGAGCCGTGTGCTCTCTGGACTGAGGGCAGGTGCAGAAAACCACCTCCAGCCTGTCTGGTTTGAAGTGTTCCGAGTTGTTGTAGTGGTTTCGTCAGCCACGTTTGTTGGAGGGGATATTCCTGTAAGGTAAAACAGTGGGAGGAAAATGGCTTCTTAATCTTGACACTTGCTAAGCAAATATGAAGAAACATCCCTTCTTGTACATAACCCAGTCCACCTCCCACCCGTCCCTTCTCTGGGGCTCCTTCTCTTCTTGTAGAAAGCAAACCAGGACACGGCACCACTTTTTACGTGGCCTCTGGGTACATACATGTACTGAAAAATACAGCTGCTGTCTGTCCCCTGGCTTGAGGACCCCCAGCCCATGGGGTTTGCTGAATGATGATGCATTCATATGGCAGGAATGTTAACAGCATGTGCATGTTAAAAACACCTGTGCCATCCCACCTGCACCTTTCTGTAGCATAAAGGTTTTTACCTTCATGTGCTTGACACCAGCCACGTGATCTTGCAGATGAAAATGCCTGCCTCTGACAAGAGTACCTAAAATGTTCAATAAGCAAAAAGTACTCATTTTGCTGAACTCAGAATAAGCGTAGATGTATTTTCTGGGCTGGGAACTAGTATGGCAAATGTTAGCCAGAAATATATTATTTTATAGCAATATTTACCTTGTTTTACGTTGCTTTATTACAGTCAGAAGTGAATGCAGTTTGTTCTACAGGGAGATCATTTCAGGTCTTTCTGGATCAGGCCCTGTAGGTAGAAATTTTCCATAACATTACATGGCTGTTGCTCAGTGCTGTCATTTATACTTAAAAGCACAGGAGCAGTGCTTTGTAGGCTCATGGATCCTAGCTACACACACCCCCGTGAGCCCGTGTTCACAAGTAGCTGAGTTTCTAGGTAATTAAATTAAACAGCAGAGACGTTGCATCTTGAAATTAAGGGAGTGAGCTATCAGCAGAGTGGGAAACGGGATGAAGACATCGCTACAGTCCTCAGGATATGTTAATTATAGCTAGAGAACTTGAAAAAACATTCATCAGCCCCTTCCTAAATTACCTCAGTCTGGTGTCGATCTCAATAATAATTTTGAAATACTATTTAAATGTATTGCATATCCTTCATATAGATGATGACCTAACTCTGGCTTTCTGCATTTCTTTTCACAGAATATCCCCATACCAACTTTAAAAGCCTGTGCTGAAGCACTGAAGACCAACACCTATGTGAAGAAGTTCAGCATTGTTGGAACGAAGAGCAACGATCCTGTTGCTTTCGTAAGTGTGATGCCACACGGTATCAGCTGCTAGTGACAACGTTGTGACAGGGCTTGCTCTTGGGCAAGGTGCTTTTGGAGTCACACACTCGCTGCTTCGTCACAGTTAAGTCACACTGGGCACGTTCTGCACCTCAGGCTTTTGGTGCAGGTGTTTCAGTCACAAGCAGTAATGAAAGCCAGAATCAAACCTCAATTCCTTTGCTTCCCTGTTCATTTGTGGAGGATTCAGCTGTTTATTCCAGAAGACAGCCCTTTAGTCCCACTAGGTCTGATATTTGCCTGCGGGATTCTTCCAGAAGAAGAGTGGTGGGCAAGAGGAGGCAGGGCTGACCCCCTGCCACCACCATGCTGGCTTCACAAGAGGGACAAGGAGAAGGGCTGTCACCTTTTGGGGTGGAGTTAAATATTGATCTGTACGAGGCATTGCCGTGCCCTCCAGCACACTCAGATGCAAAAATGCCCCAGGAACAGGAGGGAATCCCCTTTGCCACCAGGTCCCCCAGGTATCCCCCAGAGCAGAGGGGCTCCAGGGTGCTCTGGCCCTGCTTGTCTCATGCCAGCTCTTCCTGCCCACCTCTGCCCGCAGGCGCTGGCTGAAATGCTGAAGGTCAACAGCACGCTGAAGAGCCTGAACGTGGAGTCAAACTTCATCTCTGGGGCCGGCATCCTGGCTCTCGTTGAATCGCTCCAGGGCAACACAGCCCTGGAGGAGCTTCGGATTGACAACCAGGTAAAGTGCAGGTGGTCAGGAGCTCTGCTCAGGGGAAGATGTCCTGTTTGCTGGATGGAGGTCAAGTGGCTGGACAAGGTGGAGGGTGACCTAAGGTGGCCGTGGGCTTAATGGTTACTTAGTAAAAATGAAATTTGTACTGCAGTGCAGGGAAGGAGCAGATAACACGGCAGGAGGGCTGTAGAGTGTGCTGCAGTACAGATGCCTTGGCAAGTTTAGTTTCTCCAGAAACCAAACCAAGGGTGGAAGTGAAGCGGCTGAGCCGTGAGGAGCTCTGGGGCAGGCGACTGTGAGGTCAAGATGATAGGATCTCCAGGCTCCTCTTCGCTGCACGTCTCTTCAAGAAATAGTCTTTGGGCAAGGTGACTTGCGTGAGGTGTGTGCTGGAGGAGCTGGAGCCACTGGGCTGTACCAGGAGCAGGCCAGCAGGCGTCCCAGCAGTGCCATGTCAGGGATGCTGGAGGAGCAGCGGATCCAGAAGGAGGGGAGGGGGTAAGGTGAGCAGATCCCTGCTCCTTCTGAACGCCCTCTGACCCAACCAGCTCGGCAGGGGCTGTGGGACTGGCTGCATCTCCAGGCAGGGGGGGACAGAGGTGGGCAAGCTGCCTACAACAATAAAATATTTAAGATTAAGAGGCTCAAGCATTCCCCACATAGCCAGGGAGAAGCAGAAGCTGGTCCATCCCTGAGCCAGCTGGTGGCAGCTGAGGGCTGTGGGTGAACTGACAGCAGCAACAGGAGGACACCTTCACTCACCTGCTTCTCTGTTCTCTCCTCCCAAAGAGCCAGCCCCTGGGCAACAAAGTGGAAATGGAAATTGCGAGCATACTGGAAAAAAACACCACCCTGCTGAAGTTTGGGTACTGTTTCACCCAGCAAGGTCCCCGGCTCCGCGCGTCCATTGCCATGATGAACAACAACGACCTCAGTGAGTGGGGCGGGGGGCAGAACCTTGCTAAAAAGAGTTAAAAAAGGGGGTGTGGGGGGTGTGCTGGAGTCAGGTACCAGCTCTTGAGGGGCCCAGCGATGCCGGTTGTGCTCCAAACCCAGCGACACTGGAGCCCAGACCCCCAGGAGGGCGGGTTTCTGGCCGTAAGGGAGGGTCTCGATGTGAAGGAGTGCGGGCTGTTAATGTGCTTGGGCAGCAACGTGCGTGATGTGGCACACAGGTTGCGAGCTGACAGCACTTGTGATTCCTGCCAACTGCTCGTCTTCCTCCAGTTTCACTTCCACTTTAACGAGGAGATGAAAAATAGGAGAGCTGAACTTTGAAGGCAGCGGGGCTTGGCCCACCCCCCTCAGCAAAGCAAACTGGAAGTTTCCTGGGGGGAGGTGGGGAAGCCACATGGCTTGGAGTTATATTTATACTCTCAACGAAGTGAGCACGTTTTCGTGAAGGAAAATGTGGGCCAGCCTGTAAAGTGCTGTTTCAGCTAATGAACGTGGCAGAGGCTTTCCACTGCTTGGCTTCAAGGTGCTGTAGAGCACTGGAAACCCGTCCAGTGGAGCAATATCATAGAATCATAGAATATCCTGAGTTGGAAGGGACCCTTAAGGATCATCAAGTCCAACTCTTGACACCGCACAGGTCTACCCAAAAGTTCAGACCATGTGACTAAGCGCACAGTCCAATCTCTTCTTAAATTCAGTCAGGCTCGGTGCAGTGACCACTTCCCTGGGGAGCCTGTTCCAGTGTGCAACCACTCTCTCTGTGAAGAACCCCCTCCTTATGTCAAGCCTAAACTTCCCCTGCCTCAGCTTAACCCCGTTCCCGCGGGTCCTGTCACTGGTGTTAACGGAGAAAAGGTCTCCTGCCTCTCGACACCCCCTTACGAGGAAGTTGTAGACTGCGATGAGGTCTCCCCTCAGCCTCCTCTTCTCCAGGCTGATTAGAAGTGCCAGCGCTGCTGGGTAGACAGGGTGGCTGTAAACATGACCTCCAAACACTCCTGAGGAAAGACCTGAGGTATAAATGCCAGTTGGCAAGGAACGGCGAAAAGCTGGAAACCTGTATTTTAATCCACAGGAGGTTCACCACATACAGGGTCCTCTAGTCCTCCATCCATCAGCTTCGGGCTTAAAAAGCATAGAGAAATAGCTCTAAGTGGCTGTCGTACTTAAACAGATGACAAATATATGTATTTATTTTAATAAAAAGGCGGTCTTGCTTCAGACGGCGCTGTGCTGTTATGAAACGTGGCCAAGCATAGCGCTACGTGCCAGTTCTCCACTAACCACACAGCATGCTTATTACCGTCCACTGGGCTATTTGTTCTGCCTGCCGCTGCATTGCTGGTCGCTACAGAGCTGCTCCGGGAAAGGCTTGCTGTTTTCCATCTTGTAGAGAAAGGTTTTTAATGAACATAAATACACAGTGTTCAACTGAAAGATCTGGAGCTAGTGTTTGAATTGTTCCTGCGTTGGAAGGAAGGAGCGTACAGCTTTGCCTCCCATGCAGCAGGTGTACGTTTTGTCTCTTTGGCCATTAAGATCTGCATTTTTTGTCTGATTTGGTTCTTGTTTGCAGCTCGCATTCATCGGTGTCATGGTCTCTGGCCATAGCTTCTCAGCTCTACACCTGGACAATGTATAAGTATAGAAAACTTTTATTTTCATCCCTGCCAGCAATAGCTCTCTGCTGCACTCCAGCGCTCTTGCCTACCATCACCTGGCGCTGCCAGAGCTTGGTCTTGGTCCTGTAGCTTCTGTTCTCTGAGATGCCCTGCCTGAGCCAGCTGCGACAGCATTTACATTCATCCCCATGAGCTAACTTCTGCATCCTCTTTACACTTTTTTTTTTCCTTACACACAGTTCTTGAAAAATCATAGACGCAGCTCTCAGAGCTGCAAATCAACTTTGAGAGTAGTTACAGAGCTGAGTTTAAGAGTAGTTACAGACCACGTTAACCATGATCAAAGGGCTGGAGGCACAAGGTATAAGTTTAAAATTTTTTTTTATTTTTTTATTTTTTTTAATTTGAGAGAGTGATTAGGAAAAACAAGCAGAAAAAAACAACTGTGGTGTCTATCTCCTGCTGTCTTCACATCAGTCAGATGCCTTCTAGCAGAGGTGCTTCAGCCAACGTTAGATTACCAAAACAGCATGAAATGTACTTGACTGTAGAGTAAGACAGGTGAGGCTCAAAGTAGCCTTTAGCCGTAACAAAGGGACGGAAAACTCAGCTTAATTCCCTTAACTTTAAACTCTCTAGGGCTGTACCTGCTGCTTAGAGCTGGAACTCAGAGCTCGCGCTGTTCTTTCTCTCCTGGCAGAAATCATGCCTCTAAGATCTTTCTCACAGCGGGCAAGCCACATCTGCCATCCCCGTCCTCCCCCTGCCGTGACTGACTCCTCTTCCTCTTCTTTTTCAGTGAGGAAGAGCAGACTCGCGGAGCTGAACGGGCCCATCTTCCCCAAGTGCAGGACCGGCGTGTAGCTCCTGGCTGCGGCGGTCACTCCCAGTGCTCTCTGCTCCACTGTGGAAAGCCAAAGGCTGAAGTGCCTTGACAGCGTATGTGTGGTGCCTGGGTTCTGTTTTATGCACTAATGGTTTAAGTTAACTAGTGGCTGTAGTTGAAGATTTTTTATCCAGTAGGACTGTTGGTGTGTTCTGTAGAGTTGGAAACTATTCAAGCCAGGAACAGCCTGACAGTTTTACACAATCGCAGTTTAGAGTACATCCCAGTGTGAAGGTGACTTAATTAACCTGGGACCTGACTTTTCTATAAACCTTTCTGCACGGTGTTTCGTATAATAGTTAGGATGTGGTATGCATGAGTGAAGGATTCAACTGTTTCACACAAATTACAGAAGTGTTAAAAAAATACTTTATTTTTTTTTGAAATTGATCTCAAATATCTATAGAGGAGCAACTAGTTTAACAAGCACTTCTGCTGTCCAGAAACAGGCTGATTTCAGGAGCTGTGAATTGTAATTTTTTACTGACAGTTGCTGAGTCAAGTAGCTGGAGATGCTGTTTCAAACGCATCCCTGTGTTTCTCAGAAAAGATCGATTCCCTACCCTTATCCCCCCCGCTAAATTTAAATTAAGGCCACCAATTATAAAACCCTCAAAAACTGATGTAGGAGGATGGGTTAATATTGTTCTATCCTGTGCATGCCTGAATAAAAACATCAGCTTTATAGAGACCTGCTGCAAACACCAACTCCCCAGAAATAGCCAAGCTAATCAGTAAGAGACCGTCCTCTCTTCTAGTCCCCACCCCTCTCAGTTACATGACCTCAAAAGCGTGTGTCCAGATTTTCACCAGCAATGAGTCAAATCCTCTCTCCCCACTGTTTTGTTGAGAAGATCCTGCCCATTAATTAAATTTTGTTACGCTGGGGATTGTTTTGCTTACTCTCCCCGCTAACATCTGCATAAATGCAACGCTGAACACTGCGATGTTTCCTGCTAGCAGAAACATCCCGGCTGTGAACTTAGGCTGCACACAGCCTGGCAGCTTTTCGTCAGCCCACCACCCGTCCTCTAGCCTGGGAGCAATGCCCCCAGGAACACGCAGCTCCCAGGCGTGCTGTGGATTGAACCCAGCACTGTCCCACCCCAAATGCCTGCTGTTACCGTGGCTGGGATCCTGGAGGTTCTCCTGGCAGACGTGTTGCTGTACTAAGGGCTTATTCTTGGTCTGATGTAAACACAGCCTAGCAAAATACTAGAATTTGTCTGTACGCATCTGTTAAGAACAGAGTCCTGCAGCCTCTTGCATGTACTCCAGGAAAGACCCCAGATTTCTACAGAGCTCGTGTGCAGATAGAACTTAGCTCTGAAAAAATAAAGCAGAGAAACACTTTACTGTCAGCAATGTGGGAAACATACTTGTTGCTCTTAAAATCTTAATAAATATGCTAATGATGCCAAATGAAACGCTTCACTGTAGCTTCTTCCTCCTGCCCCCCCCAAGCCCTGCAAATTCCATTTCATAAGGTTAAAAGAATACAGAATAAAAAGGCTTGAAGACATATTAAAAAATAATAATTAAAAAAAAAATCTGGCAGACAGCCTCCTACCACGTGCACTGCAAATAATTTGACTAATTCATCAGGCCAGAGGCACAGTTCCCACTGAGCCATCCACATGGATCTGCCTGGTTTGGGCACCTTGTGTTCTGCTCTGGGACATCCTGATGGTGCTCAGAAACCTGAACATGCACAGAGACTCCTGCCTGGCAGCATTTTGCCTCGAACAACAACAGCAGCCCTTTAAAAATAACACTTTTTCCTCTGTTGTGCTATAGCAGCATCCACTTTAACCATGTAGTTCACACTAAGCTGGTGGGATTGCTCCAGGTTCCTCAGCTGATCCTTGCTCACAGAGCTGCTTTGCTCAGCGCCAGGCTCTGTGGTGAAAGGCATCAAGTCGTGCAGCAACAGCTACAAAATGGTGATGTTCAGGGGCAAAGAGCTCCCCGTTTTGCCCCAGCAGCTCTCCAGGAAAAGGGGAAAAAGCCATGGGGTGCCTGCAGCACCTGGTGGTCACAGCCTGTCCCGCTTAACTCTCACCTTCTCTTACCTTCTCCGCTGCTGCCTTAGTGCACAAGGACCAGCAGAGGTCCTGCAGCCCTCCTCTGCCTCCGAGGTAGGATCTCCCACTGCCAGGAACTCTCAGGACTGCACCTCACAGCCACGGCTCCCCGGTGGCAGAGGGCTAGCTGGTTTCCAGCATTTGCTGCTGCAGAACTAAGCACCACCACCAGACAAACCAAGTGTGCTTGTGCCGTACTGTAGAAACTCTGACGGAAGCACTAAGGGTTGTTTATCATCGCAGCAGTTCCAGAGGCTTTCATATAAAATACAGCCTGCCCTGCCTCATTCTGCACTGAGAACTGATACGCAAACAGCCTGCCACAGGGATTATAGTGCTTCAGATTTGCAGACAGAGTAAATTATAATATCTGGTCCTTTTTCATTTCACACCTGACAGAGAGAGACAGAACATACGCAGGTTTGAGGACTGCCGTCAGTGCTCTAGACCAAGCCTGCACATAGAGCTTGTGATTTTTCCCACTGATATTCCAGGCCTCAAAACAAGCACAGAATGGCCAGCAAAACCTGGGAGGTGAGATGCCAGGGGACTACAGGTCCTGCTTCGACTTCTGCTTAAGGTTCCTACTGATAGGAATTTCCCAACCTTCCCTCTCGTATGGATTGCAGCATACAGAATTGCTGTTTTTTTTTTTTTTCCATTCTGGAGTGATTCCCCAGGCAGACACTTCAGCTTCAAAGTCCTGCTTCACGAGAAGAGCTGTCACAAGGACTGTTACCTCTGAGTGCAGGGCAGCAGTGCTGAAGTGCTTTGCTGTGCTCTGGCTGCAACATAGCCAGTGCCCCCATCTTTAAGCTGCCAGTCAAGACACCAGCGTGGCCGTGCCAAATTCACAGCTCTGTGGGAGAGGGTTACAGCCTATCTGAGAGTAACATTGCCCTAACTGTCACTAAGCAACTACAGAAACCTGAGTAATCGTGCTTTTTTCTTGCCTTTAAAAGAAGTTGCTGGTTTAAAACACAAAATGAAAACTGAAACCACCAGTAACTGATTTTGATTCCCTAATGACTTAGTACCAAGGATGGGTGTAAGCTGCAAAGACACTTTTCAGTCGTGACACATCTTCTGTGTTACTAATAACTTTCCTGCAGCAGCAGGCACACCAAGCACCAGGCAGGGAAGTACCCTGAGGTACTATGTTGTGGGATCCTTTCGAAGTCCAAGACGGTTTCTCCACTAATAGGCACTGAAAACTGCATAAACATCTCCCAGCTTTTGAAAAATTCAAGCCATGTTTACAAAGCACAGATTCTCCCAAAATATTGGATAATTTAACTTGGATAAGGGACCTGGCCATCTCCTTACGGCTGCTGCTGACACTCACTCCTGTCAGCATCACTACCGGTGCCATCGCTGGTATTTTGATGGTCTCCGTGCTCCCCTCTCCGTGTGTCTCAGTTCCAGCACACTCCAAGCTGTTGTCTTTTCTCTGGTGCGAGCAGAGCTGGGTACTTCACGTACTGACCAGCTGAAAGAAGCAGTTCCCAGGCAGATGGAAGCGTCAGAACAAGAGTTACTTCTGCTGCTCAACCCACAGGTCACACACAATGAGTGCAGCTGAGCAGGCAGCACCTGTGAGCAACACACATCCTCAGCCTTTGCTCCTCCCACCAGGTTTATGCTGCAGTCAAAGGCAACTGCTCCTTGCTTCTTCCTCACTGGTGTAAAGCACGAGATGCACGCATATGGCATGTACACAGAACCACAGAATCATTAAGGTTGGAAGAAACCTTCAAGATCACCTGGTCCAACCATCCCCTGCCACCAATGTCACCACTAAACCATGTCCCCAAGCACCACGTCGAACCTGTCCTTGAACACCCCCAGGGACAGTAACTCCATCACCTCCCTGGGCTACTGGTTCCAGTGCCTGACTGCTCTTTCTGACAGAAATGTCTCCTCATTGCCAACCTGAGCCTCCCCTGCTGCAACTTGAGTACATATATGCGTTTATGTACTAAGGAAATGATCTTATAGCATCAATCACCTGTGGCAATATGGTTAAATTCCATATGATATAGTATAGAATTATGGCTTAATGTGGAAATTGTGAAAACCTTTGTTGACATTTGTAGAAAAAATGCTATCTTTAGAAAGTAAAAATCACATTGATGCTAGAGTAACAAACTATGAATTCACTTTTATAGAATTTTTTCCTTGTGTGAGTTCCTAATCCCACTGGAATCATGGAAGTCACTGGAGTCATGATTTAGAGTCATAATAAATTCCACATGGGAATACCTTCAGCTCTAAACTGGTCACGTAGCCAGAAATTGGTAAATCTGCAGTCTTCATCATGCTAGCACTAGCTATTGAAGCAAATGCATGATTAAAGGAGCAGGCAGACAGATCCACCTCCAGGCAGGAAGAACAGAATGGATTTTTTTTTTTTTTGGTTTAAGTTTCTTTATAATTGTGAGCAGCTGTGTCCCATCACATTCTCTGCTGCAAAATCCCCATGGTAGAGGCCCTGCTACGAGACTGTACCCAGAAAGAGGAATCCTGTAGCACCGGTGATAGGTTGGGCACTCTGGTAATTTACACTCAAGTAATGCACAGTTTTTCAGGACTTAAAGGCGGGTCATAAACAAGACTTCCAAAGCCAACAGATTTTTGTGATTTCCAAACCTAGCTGAGGAGCAGACAGGGATCTGGTTTTAGAAGCCCTTTGCATTAGCACAATGTCAGATTAACTAATGAAACAACTTAAACTTTTCCTGCATCCAGCGTCCCTCGCGAGATACGTTCAACAGGTACCCTTGGCCTTCTCTTTGTACATTCGCACTCCTCCTTCAGCGTCTGTCCTGAAGCCCTTGAAGTCACCTCGAGCTCCTTCTCTTGACACACAGGACAGCAAGCTGTAAGACCTTTGTTTCGACAACTTGGACATGTCAGGACGAGCTGCCGGCAGTGCTGGCTGGAACAAAGTTTGTACTGGTCCCACAGCGTCCCACAGTACCTGCACGCTGGAGTGAGGAGAAAAAAAAAAAGCACGTTAACACCCTCATGGTCCCATGTGTCCCCCTTGCAGAGGGCTTCCAGTGGCACCAAGAGGCTAAAATCTCATTTAAGAGGGTATCCATTTGTATTCCAGGTATTTTATTCCTGCTTTAGCTTGGTATTCCAGAACATAGATAATTTTTGAACTTCTGACGTAAAAAAACTCCAGGCAGCTGTCATTCCAGACACAGTGCCCGCTGCTGCTTCCTCGAGCTCAGAGCAGACAGATCTGACAGAGCAGGTCTCTGCTGCCAGGAGAACCATGAAGAACCAAGTGCTGGTGGGAAGGAGCCCAGCACCCAGGGACGCTGCCTGAAAGCGATGCCATGGGGCTCCTTTCCACCTGGAAGCAGTGGCATATGGGGAGTCACCTGCAGTCCTAGCAGAGTCCTTCCACAGCATCAGACAGGTTTTGACCCTTTAACAAAAAGCTTTCTGCCCATTTCAGCTGCACCATTGAGAAGGTGCCTACTTCAACACCTCCCCTTGAAGCTTCTGTGAAAAATGGCTGTGATATACCCAGAGTGTGTTCTGCTGCTACACCAAGCCAGGAACCTTCACGATGAGTATGGTAAAATGCAGAGGAGGAGTGGGAGGTTACGCTCAGAACGTTACCCACTCTGAGAAAAAAAAGCACTGCTTCCAAAAAAAAAACCAAAAAAAAAAAAGCCAGAGCCAAGTTCCTTCTATTTGTACCTAGCAACAGAGAAGATGACAACAGGCATTTCATTTGAAACAGCTGAAGAGTGACCCAAGCCAGGCGATCAGGCAATGTTCGTAACAACTTCAGCTGGAGGTCACGGAGATTCTACAGGCTGCAGAAACTATGAAGGCATAAAACAACTAACTGCTGCAGAGCGCAGTGCCTCCACGTTCCCAGTGCCTGTCAGTCTGTGCTAACACTCTCAGACCTCTGCAGCAGAGACCAGCTGACACCAGGAGAACTCTAACGCTGTGGTTACTTGGCCAACCACAGTCTGATCATCTCTGTGGTCAACAAGTGGGTAACAACAGCAGTGTGTGACATCCCTGCAGCTGCTGATGGCTCATAACTGCAGCTGTTCTGCAGGGGAGGCTTCATTTTACTCACCCAGCTTTAGGGAACTCTGTTTAGTGCCCTCTTTAGCTCTCGTTTGTGTTTTGTGTGTCAAAACCTTGATTAGAGTTGATTATCACAAACAGTGACAGTACTAACAGATCAACGTGAGTACGAGGATGAAATACACATGCCAGTCTGTCCCCCCTGTTCTATGCATCTCTGTGGAAAACTCTGCCATAGCTTCCCAGCATTTTGCACGCAGGTTATCTAGCCTTACCTGAGATGACATCTTCATTGGAGCAAATGGAGAAACGATCGTCAAATACAAACAGCTTCCCCCTGTAGAATCCATCCGGGAACTCTTCCAGGTACTTGTGGATTCCACCTTTTAGCTGGTACACCTCTTTGCACACTGCCTGTTTCAAGCACAACAGCAGAAATGCTGAAGGAGACGGCAGCAGTGGGGCTGGGCCAGAGCTACCCAAGCGGATTTGGAAATGACACCAGGGGTGATGGAACAGCAGCAGTTTCTCAGCAACCATCAGATGGCAGCAGGTGCACGCACAAATCTAGTCAGCACCACTGGGTGGCTGGCTGACATCAGCCTAAAGAAGCAATTGACAGTACAGCCAAAAAAAGGCTGGTAGCCACCTCAGATGAGGGAGGTTTGCTGCATCCCAGATTAAGCACTTCTGAACCTCTGTGAACCACTGCTGCCTCTGTGTTTTTGTTTGTTTGTTTTGTGCTGAACTGTTTACAGGAGCAGAATTTCTCAAGATTCACGTTCGTGCAGTAGAGAAAGAATCAAGGTTTACATCTCTGGATGTAAATGTTCACTTCTCTTAAGGTAGGGACCCAGGACAACGGTGGCATGGAAGACACAATTAGAACAATAAAATGTGTGAAGGGTTTAACTCCACAACACTGGGAAATCACTGACTTGATGGCTTTCCTCACACAAAATGCTCAGGCTGTACAGTAACGAGCACAGAGCATAACCTAGATAGAGCTCGTGGAAACACGGCAGAGTGCTCTCAAACCCTCCTCAAACACCACTAGAATGGTCGAGGCACTTACAAATAAATACCTCTTCTCAGTGAATGGTTCACTTCTTTCACAGAGCAATCGCTGCTGTGACTGCAGTCCATGCACATCGTGCTGAGCTGCAATAAACAATCCGTGTCCGTGACAGGCAGCACAAAGCAAATGTGAGACACCCTTCTCCCCACACCAAGCACTTTATGCTCAGTAAGGATTTAACAACAAAAGAGAAGACAATCACCCTCACTGCAGTCTCAACTCCCGACACTTGTGCCCTCAGAATGACATTTCACCTTGCTCCGTAGGTAAGCAGAGCCTCTTTCACAGCGAATGCCTCCCGTGCAGTACATCAGGACACGCTTGTTTTTAAAAAGCTCCAGGTTTTCATCGACATAGCTGGGAAAATAGCTGAACTTCCTGATGTCTGGAGCCAGACAGCCCTGGAAGTGTCCCTGAAATAACAACAGACGGGCATGTGAGTGGTTATACGCTGTCTTACCTGGCAAGGTCTACGCCTCAGGCTACAGGAAGTAACAAATTTTGGGGCCAGGACAACTGGGTCACTGCACACAGCCAACAATGCAATACTTTTCTCAGAAGAAAGGCTGAGAGAGCTGGGGCTGTTGAGCCTGAAGAAGGTGGTCCCTGGGAGACCTCACTGCAGCTTTTCAGCGCTTACAGGTGGCTTATGAAAAAGATGGAGAGCAACTTTTTTATCTGACAGGACAAGGGGGAATGGTGTTAAACTGCAAGAAGGGAGATTTAGATTGGATGTTAGGAGGAAGTTCTTCACTGAGAAGGTGGTGAGGCACTGGAACAGGCTGACCAGAGAGATTGTGGATGCCCCACCCCTGGAGGTGTTCAAGGCCAGGACACCTCCTGGCCTTGGATGAGGCCTGCGCACCCTGATCTAGTGGGTGGCATCCCTACCATGGCAGGGGGCTTGGAACTGGATGATCTTTAAGGTCCCTTCCAACCCAAACTGTTTTGTGGTTCTGCAATACTTCAGGCTGCTCCTCAACTGCATTCATGCAACAAAATAGCTGATAAAATATGAGAAAATTCAGGACACACTTCTTATCCAAGCACGGAGATAGGCAGAACAGGATTGTCAGAGGATACACTACAGCAGTGCAGGAGAGCTGGTACGTGGGAAACGGAAGGACAGGACGCCCCCATTCTTCTTGGCATGTGGGGCACTGCAAAAATGCTAGAAAACGTCCTTACATGTTACACTATGTTTACTTCAAACAATAAACTTCTCGCTGCTCTTGGCCTATGGACTGCTTTGTCTTCTTCCTGCCTCAAGTTGTACAAGCCCTCTGCCTGGCAGGATCCATACTGGGTTGCTCCACAGGGTCATGCGGGGTCCTCCACTGCTTGTGTCTAACAGCCACTGGTACTATTTCAGTCAATGTCACCTCTCCTCCTGAGTAAAGGTACACCCCTGCCACACGAACTGCTTCCGTTCAGCACCTGCAACCCTGCAAGAAGCAGGCAAGCACCACTTACAATTTTACTCTCATAGAAGTTCCTGCAATCCAGCAAGATGGTATCGCTTTGTCCTTGACTGGCCTGAGACAGATACTGCTCTACTTCTCTGTGAAATTCCTGAGGGGATAAATGGATTCCTTTAGAAAAAAAAAATAAAGACAGAGATAAAGAAGTTGTGAGAATGAGAACTACAATATGTCATATATGATCTCTCACTGGTTCAGATTCTCCTCAAAGTTCCAGCCTAAAAGACATTTTTTTTCTGCGACAATTCAGAGTTTGCATCCCAACCCAACCACCTAAGTTTATCTGTGTTCAGCTTCTACTGGTGAATGAACGAAAACACAACACTGTTCCAGCTGTTCCACATGACAGAAGCAGCAGCAGACAGTTGCCTGTCTGTATGACCTTTGTTTTGTTCCCCTGGCAACTCTTACAACTGTGAAAAACAGCGTAATGTGTTTCCTTCCACTTGGCTCATCTTTCATTGTATTTGGATGGGCAGAACCCTAGAGACACAACTTTTTCACTGAAATTAATCCCTTTTGAACAAAACGGAAAATTTCTGCAAGCATGTACTACTTGCAATGCAACTTGAATTTACTTAAAGTTTCTCAACTTTTAGGTTGCTCAGCTGACTGGAAAACAAAGTCTCCCTCACCAAAATCCCCTACTTACAGAAGTCTGCCAGCGACAAAACCTCTTGATAGAAAAAAAATGTCCAGAACTGCTCTGCTAATTGTTATTTGTAGAGCTACTGCTCACTGTCCAGATGTACAGTAATACAAGTACAATTTAGGACAGCTCACAGAAGTTTTATGAAGTATGATCACAGCAAGAGAACAAGAGGACAGCAGCTCTCCCTTTGCTGCCGTTCTCAGCCAAGTGACTAAAGAGACCCAACCTACATATATATACACTGTTTTAGGAAAAGAGAAGGGAGTGATGAAAAACGATCACTCCGATGCTAACAAAGCCAGGTATCCCCAGCTGGGAGGGACAAACACTAAACAATCATTTACATGTCCACAAGGGCAGGTATCCATTCCTGGGAGGGATGGGCTCTGTAAGAAGCTTGTTAACTGCTGTAATGGCAAGAAGAAATCAGCATAATGTGAATAACATGGCAGCATGCAGAGATGGCTCTTAGCATAGCCCACAGGAGTTTTACATCCAGTATAATGTCAGCTCAGAAGCAGGGAGTTGAAACAATCACAGACTGATAGCTTTTACTTGAAATGAATGTTTTTTTTATTTGGGATAAACTTCACAGCCAGACTTCTCAAATCTTTAATACGAGTAAGTCTACCAACATGTTACCATCTACGTAAGTGTCCTCATAGCAGGTGCGTAGCTATGTACTTCTTGTTGGGCTTAATCCATACTAAGCAGCTATAAGTGGCAGAAAACAAATGCTGCCTGTGCCGGGGGCTGGCATGATCCTGATACAAAACCTGGTTCTGCTTTACTGTGATAGGAGCATGACTATTTTAACTTCAACACAAGGAAAGTCAGGTCAGCAGTCCCAAGCGTAGGAAAATGCATATAAATACCCAAGTGTAAGCTTCAGCGGGATTCTGGCACCTTATTAAAAAAGTTAAGTACAGCTCTCTGCATCCACAGCATGACAATCCACTGGATCCACAAGACTATGGAAAACTCTTCCTATACAAGTTGGTTCTTACAGCAAGCTGATAGAGCACTGGAGCTCTTTATACTTACCATTTCTGAGCTAGCACCTACAAAATATTTATAACAAATACTCTCGTGCTTTGAAGCGTCTTTCCCAATCATCACAAGTAATCTCACCTGAGATCTGCCTTTAGCAGGTGTCCAGAGCCATTCCCGGACTAAAGAATAAAGTATTTGCTTACTCCAAAAGTCATTTGGACTATTACAATTTGCTACAAAAAGGACAGCTAGCTCTCAGCTTTTTGAAGCAGAGAAGCACTTAGCACAACAAAATCTGGGCCAGCAAATTCCCTACATCATTGACTTCTGACTACTGGTAAGGAATCAATTCATCTACTTCAGATGCTTTCTGTATCTGCTGTGTCCTGGCCACTGTGCAGCAGGAAGTATTTCTTGGTGAAGACACTTTGTTCTTCGCTTACCTCTCAGTGTGATGAGAGGCTTTGTTTTTTCATGAAATCAACTTACCGGTTTCCTTATAAGAGACTTTTTCTGGATCTATGCCCATAGGTACGATTTCTTTAAATACTCCAACTCGAAGGTCTGGGAAGCAGTGAGCTCCTCCTGCACTTCTCTAGGAAATTAAACACAGAAATAATCCAACACGGTTGCCAGGTGTCAAGATCAAAAACATCCACTCATTGTAATTTCTACATTCCACTGGAATATGGAAGTATCTTGGTGGCTGGGGGAAAGATACAGCATGTGGAGGATCCATGAGACATTCTGTAACAACAAAAGCTAACACAAGAGTGTTGGTGCTCTGAGGGGTAATGCAGGGCTGGAGGTTTTGCCAAAGTAAAATTCCATCCCCACTTCGTTTTTGCAACTGCACATCACTAACTAAAAGGTCAGATTTATCCTTGAAATTCATCCAAACACAACACACAACTGAAGAGCTACAACTGAATGAGCACTGCAGTTCTGTGCGAGATTTGAGTGTCACGAGCTTCACGAGCTCTTTGATTTAGTTATTTGCTGAGAACAAAATGGTACTCCGGGCAAACAAAACTGTGCAGAAAACAAAATGGTCATCAAAGCAGCAGCCTTCCTTCCTCACAGAGAAAGGATGTACAGAGATGGGGCAGCAGAAGCCCACCAGAATGCCACGTGGTGCCAGCTACAGCTGCCACCACCACTGCAATCAACAAACGTGTTCAGGCTCAGGTAGAAGTCAGCACCCCACCCTCCCTCTGGTCAGGCACTGACTGGAGTAGGGAAGAACCCCGTGACTCTGCCTGTGTATTTTTTTTTTTAAACACATCCAAATCATGGAATTGACAGTGGACAGCATCGGGACACCAAAGCCTGCAAGAAACCTAAACCAGCAGGCTTCTAGGTGAGGATCTCACATCTGAGTGAAGAAGGGAGTGGGGGAGTATTTTGTGTGGATTAGTGTAAGCTGTGATGCCTAGGTTTTGGCAGTCAAGTCAGAGGAAATGCATGTTGAAGGATAGTGGAGAAGTGTTATCTCTCCCTCACCTGTGTGCAGCCCGCATGACTTTGCATCTGCTGCCACCACTGCTCACAGCACCTGCTACAACAGCTTGCACCAGCAGATATCTGAACATAGTTAGTTTAGGAATTTACCAGTGCAGGCAGAGCAGAACTGCTAGAGCAAAAGTGTATTACCAAATAGCAGTGTGCCCATTCCTCAAACATCACAAGTCCTGCATTAATAACATCTGTGTTGAAATTACATTTTCATACCTTGAAATCATCTTGACACAAAATGTCTTTGAACAGAGGCTGGGAAAGCATGACTTCAATGTAGAGACTGGTGGCTACTTTGCTTCCACCCACTGTTCCGTTGATTCCTTCTGAAGCAACTCGTACCTGGAAGGCAAGAGGAGAAGCTGGGGCTAAGGTTTAGTAACAGCAGAAACAGATCGTGGTGAAACGTGCAAAATATGACTGGGTGAACAAAAGGCAGATGTCAAAGTAGGTTCAGAGGAGAGACTACTGAGGAAGGAAGGAAGGAAGGAAGGAAGGAAGGAAGGAAGGAAGGAAGGAAAAGAGTTATAGCAAAGGTGAGCAGAAAGAACATAGTAAAACAAAAACTGAAATAAAAACCCAGTAATTGCTTTTAAGCCATTTCAGAAGACTGACATCAGGAGAGTCTGGTAAGCTCAAGCAATAAAACGGTAACTGGTTAACAAACACATCCTGCAGTCAGAATTAAAATCCCCACTGAAGTCTGCTTCAGGAACAATGGGAGGGTGCTTGGTGATAAAAGGAAAATGTGGATATGCATAATATGGCGTGCGATATTAAACGCCAGTGTGAGTCATTTTACCTACAGCACTGACGTAAATGAAGAAAAACTCTGAGCTGGTGAAAAAAAGACTGAATATAAAAATGGAGGAAAAAAATGTTTGAAAAGACAACTGCTGAACCTGATTTGGAAAAGAAATAAATTGAAAAAAAAAAAAAAACAAGGGGGAAAAAAAAACACAAACCCAACCACCAGACAAGATACATGATCAAAAAGAAAAGCTAATGCGTCAGGATATTTCAGCCCCAGACTGTGCAGATGTAGAACAGGGACGGTGTGTTCCTTTCATTCCCTCTAAGCAAGGAAGGCTGGGCTTGTACAATGCAGAGCTTTGCATGCAGGTCTGTACAATCTGTTCTGCTTTAAACAGCAGCAGCTCTGGGAAAATTGTCAGAGATGAGACGCAAATCTGTTAGCTGAGTTAGAGTGCCGTGAGAAATTTCTGTTCCCACTCCTGAGATACAGGAAATTAAGAGCAAGAAAATGAAGCAAAGGGAGTAGTAAAAACTTTGGGAAGGAAACATCAAAAAATAAACAAAACAACCAACAGTGCTTTGACAGTACAGTCCATCCTGGTTGAGTCTTCTGTGTATGAAACGGCCCCAAGTTGTGCCAGGGGAGGTTTAGGTTGTATATCAGGACAAGAAACCCAGCAGGCGTTAAGAAATAAAAAGAATTGGAAGTAGAAAATCCAAACAGGAGGAAATGGGGGCAGATATTCTCTGCAGAGATTCAGACCAAGAAAGGGGAGGCATCTGCCAGCATCAGGATTGTGGACAAGTGGCTCCAGTGCACCCACACAGTTAGTCACAGCGTGCAGAGGCTGGTCTCCTACCGCTGGCAGAGAAAGAAAGGCTACTCAGAGAGACAAGTCACAGACAAAAGCAGTGTCCTGCTCAGAGCTGTCCTCTTGGAAAACCTCCCTCCCCACGGATAGCCTAGGGACATCAGCTTTTCGAGCCTGAAGCGCCCCCACCCACAGCCTCCAGAAGCCAGCTGGACTCTTTGTTCTCTCCTCCAAGGAACGAAAAGCACAAAGGTGCTGTTCAGGAACCAGCACTGATACCTGGTGGCATTACCTAAGCTGCCAGTTGCTCCCTTCTCACTCCTGACAGCGTGAAGTGACCCTGCCTATGAGCCCGCTGCACCTCAAGGAGGCAGCAACACACCACGCAGCCGGGTTGTGCTGTGCTGCATGAGCAGCTTCGCCTTCGGGATGTGCTGCACACACAGGCTGGGCTCCCTCCCACCCCCGTGTCCTTGGCTGCGTGTGAAAGATCCTCCAGAAGTTCCCACGCGAGCACCCCTTCTGTCTGACAGCAAGCATGGTGGCTGGGCTTCTTCTCCTGGTAATAAACCCTGCAGCAGGTTGAATGACCAGAGTGGGTTAACCCTTCCACGGACAGGGCGTGCACAACTCCTGCTTCTCAGCATCAAAAGGGGCGTACGATTACCTGTAGCTTCTTCTTCTCTGTAGCTTTAGCTTTAATAAGAAACTTTCTAAACGATACTTTACAGTGTCTGGGTGCTTTTCTTAACGGAGTGGTAACAGACAAAACAGCTGAGGACCCACCAAGCCGCATCACCCTGCATGAAACGCAGACAACACTTTCCAAAGATGACACAAGGAAACACAGCTGTATCTTGCAGCCTTACCTTGCCAGTGAGGTGCAGGTGCACGCACAGCGCCCTTTGCCAGGCGCAGAGCTTCTCCGGGTCCCTCACCTCGCAGTAGCAGTAATACAGCAGCACCTCTCCCGCCTTGCTGCCCACAGCACGGCAACGGGCGAACACAGAGGAACAGGACGTTAGCGTCAGAATGTGGACAGAATAGAGACGTATGTTATCGGTGATAAGTTCTCAAAAAGTGGGAAATTTCCTTGCGGTGGGGAGAAAACAAAGCCTGGAGGGGGGAGCACTGCGGGGTTTGGATGGTGTCCGGGAGGGAGGGTGGGGAATGGGGGCAGCTCCTGCATGCCTTGGGACCGGTCACATAGGGAGCTGTGCAGCACAGGACACCTAATACACGTTTCCCTTAACGGACAGACTACAAAAACTCATTTTTTTTAATTATTATTTATATTTTTTTTAGTTATGGGCATGCAACCGTCTCACGAAGCGCTCAGCCCTGCAAGCTCACACACACCCCGAATAAAACCAGATTTTGAGTAAGGTGGCGGGTGCCTGCGCTCTGAGCAGCAGGAGGGGTTCTCTACTATAAAAAAAAAAAACAAAAGGTTTTATTTATAAATAAGCGACAAAGCTTCGTTCACTGGGGGTGCGGGGGGGGGGGGGGTGTCCCGGGGCTGCTCCTTACCTCTGCAGCTCCGCGGGGCCGAGGTGCCGGGTGTCGGGCAGCTCCTCGCTCAGCTCCGTGCCGCCAGCGGGCCCCGCTGCCCCTCGCTGCGCCTCACCGGGTCCCGTCCCCGTCCCCGTCCCCGTCCCCATCCCCGCGCCCAGCAGCTCGGCGCCGTGCTGGGTGCCCACATGCCGGTGGATGCCGCCGCGCTCGCGGAACGTCTGCCGGCAGCAGCGCCACCACACGGCGCCCGCCGCGCCCGCCGGCACCTCCCTGGCCTTCACGAAGGCGGAGAAAGCCGCACGGAGCCGCTTCCGAGCCCCGCGCCCCGCCACCACCACCTCCGCCGCCGCCTCGCCGGGCGCCATCTTGGCCCCCCCCTTCTTCCTCCTCCTCCTCCTCCTCCTCCTCCTCCTCCTCCCTCAGGGGGACACCGGAAGTCCGCCATAGCCCCCCCCTCCCCCCGGAAGCGGGGGCGCGGGCAGGGCGGAAGCGGGCGGCGCGCGCACATCGCTCCCCGCGCGGCGCGGAGCGGCACGACCCGGAGCCTTCCTCCCCCCCCTCCTCATCCTCCTCATCCTCATCGCGACATGTCGCGGCGGCGGCACAGCGACGATAGCGACGACAGCGATGGTGAGTGCCCAACCCCCCCCCCCCCCCCCCCCCTTCCCGTTTATCCCTCCCGGTAGCCGTTGAGCCGCGCCAGCGGCTGCTTGCTAACGGCTTTTAACGGCTCTCCAACCGCCGCGCGTGTGTCGGAGCAGGGCAGCCCCACAAGCGGCGGAGGACGTCGGAGCCGTCCGAGATCGAGGAGAGGCTGGAGTCGCTGATCTGCAGGGTGGGGGAGAAGGTAAAAGGGCCAGCGGGACGGGACGGGTCGGGACGGGGCGCTGCGCCAGGCGTTAATTAGCGCCCCGGGGTTAATTGGGGCCCGCACGCAGCCCCTGTGTGTGTGTGGGGGGGGGGCTGAGGGCTGGGGGCTGGCTCGCGGTGCCTGGTGGTGGTGATGGGGCTGCGTTGTTGTTTGTTTTATTTATTTTATTACTATTATTGTTATTATTATCTTTATTTATGGCGCCTTCCTCAGAGCAATTCGTCCTTGGAGAGCAACTTGGAGGGCCTAGCCGGCGTTTTGGAGGCGGATCTGCCCAACTACAAGAGCAAGATACTGAGGATCCTGTGCACTGTGTACGTATGCAGAAGGCCTGGGGCCGGGTCAGGGAGATGCTGGTTTTCCCCCAGTGCTAAAGGCACAGTGTGTTTCCTTGAAACAGGTGCAGGGCTTGAAGCAGATGAAAGAACCTCAGAGCAGCTCCTCGGCAGCAACAAAAATAGGACAGTACTGGGTGACAGCCTGTTTCCCAACAAAACACTTAAAGGCACTAAAGCCATTGGCTGCTAATACTGCGTCTCACCGGCTGTGCTCTCTTCTTGCTGCTGGTTCCTCTCCTCTGGTGATGCGATGCTCCTGTCTTCTTAAGCCCCTTTTCTGCAGGCGGGGAGCTGGGAGCATGGAAGAGCTGCCAGCAGGCTCTCCCTGGCTGACAGCACTCCTCTCACCCAGCAAGGAGCAGAAGCTGCACTGGGCTGTGTCGGGTCACAGGAGATGGGGCTGAGGGAGGAGGGGTCCCCACATGGCTTATGGTAGCGTACAAGAGCAGTACGAAGAAAGAGCGTGGTGAGGAGGGAGAGCGTTTGAGCAGTGGCTTGTGCTATAGTTTTGCAAGTGCATTAAATCTAGTTTGTAGCAATGTTTGCTACAATAGCAGCTTTTCCCAATAGCAGTGCAACACACTGAAATACAGAGTTAACCTACAGATATTCAAAGTATGGTTGAGGGAAATTTATTGCTTTATAGCAGGACCCAGCCTTGTCTGTTTCTTCCCTCTGTTGCCTCTAAATCAGCTACTTCGACAAGAGGAACCTGGGGTCAAAATTAAGAGCGTAAAAGGTGTACATCTCTTGTGCAGTCTTGTTGATTATCCTAAAGTATGAACTTAAAATAGCATCTTACATCTTTGTGTTTGTTCTATCACAATATTTGGTGAACTCTGCAGAATGCTTAGCAATTTGAAATAAATGTCATAAATGTTGTCAAAAGTGATGCCTGCCTTTCTAAATGACGGTAATTCTGAAAAAGAGATTGCCAGGCAAAGTATTAACCACGGGACAGAACTAACAATTCTGCTAGCACTTTTTCTTATTTCCACCTGAAATGAGTTTAACTTACTGTAAGCAAATTCCGAGCTGCTGTGCCGTTGCCACTTGGCACATGATGAATAAACTTCTAACACCGTGTTTCTTTTTCTGTGTCAGTGCACGTCTGTTACCAGAAAAGCTTACTGTTTACACGACACTAGTTGGGTTGCTGAATGCCAGAAACTACAACTTTGGTGGGGAATTTGTAGAAGCCATGATTCGTCAGCTTAAAGAATGTCTGAAAGTCAATATGTACAATGAAGCTGTCCACTTAGTAAGTTGTTTTTTTATTTATCTGTCTTTCTACATTTTTCTACATCCTTTTTTTCTTCCTTCCTTTCACGTTTTTTGTTCCAGGACACCTTTCTGTGTGTATTACAGTCTTTCCTGGCATCAACACATGGTGCACTGTAGGTATACCAAGAGGAAACGTCTGCTAACGTGAGAAGTATTTCCTTCCAAAGGGGAGAAAAGTCACATTAAAGTTGCAAAACTGACTTCCAACTGTGTATTTTCTCGGTGACAAATTAACTTGCAGTAAGCAGAGTGCCCTAACCTTTTCTATTTTCTCCTGTGAAATTTGAAGGGTGAATGGAAGTCATGTTATTTTTTTGTTTAAACGTGTTTGTTGTTCTTGTGGCTCCCATGGAGAGGGGGGGAAGAAAAAAAACAAAAACAACATAGAACCATAAGTTTTGTTCATAACAGCTGATTCATGGCTGTTACCAGGGCTGTGTTTTCCTTCTGCTAAAGAGGGGTAAAAATCAAATGGACAGGTTTGTATGCTGTCTTTCTCTGAAATCACATGCTCAGCTCTCACTGCTTGTAGATTTGGTCTGCAAAAATAATATTAGAACTTCAGAGATGTCTGATTTAGAAGCCCAGTGGCAAGCTCCCATGCTTCATTTGAAGCCCACAGGTAAAAATTAAAATTCTGGTATTTTACTATATTTTGTCAAGTGACTGCTGCTCAGGAGTGGGACTTTTTTGCTAATAAAATTGAATTTGAGTGTACTGTCCCTTGCTTTCAGCTCCACCTTCTCTGGTCATGCTTACTTAAAAATGCCCTGTGAGGGAATGACAGCTAAGATAGTGGCAGTAGAAAGCTGCCCTCAGCTTTGCCAAAGACTTCTCAAAGACTGTTTAGTGCAATAAATATCAGGAAAGTAAGAGTTTGTTACTCTCATCTGTTGCAGTTGTTTTTCGAGTGCTGCACTGTGCTTAGCTCAAATTGCTTCCCCAAGACTTCTTTGCAATGATTTGCCTTCAAAAAAAGTGTTTTTTTATGTGTTTGTGGTGGTTTTTGACTACTTTCTTGTGAGTATGCCATTAAGAAAAAATAAGTCTGTAAGAAAAAAAAAAAAGTGGGGATGTCATTACTAGCACTGAATTTCAACCTATATTGTTTGTCAAGATTATGGTCATACCATGAGAGTTTGGGTCATACCAGAAACTTGTTTAAGTTTGAAGGCAGGATACAAATCTATCAAAAGAGTGGTGAAGAAAAAAATAATGCAGTAAACCCTTCCCAGGTAGGTCCCAGCGTAACCTGTAGCACTGCTGTGCCCTAGATTTTTCTACTTAAATTGCCATTTCTGTCAGTCTGGATTTCTAAATAGTATGCAGCCAAATAAAGGGCATATTTTTGCCATGGAGAATTTTTTCTTCTCAGGCAGTTAAGGCCATTTGGTTCCCAGCATGCCATCCATTTAGCGTCTTTCTGAAACCTGAAAATAACAGCATTTTGCATAGGCTTTCTCCGTGTAGCTGTATTTATGAACAAATAGCTAGAAATTCAATATGTATGAAAGACTCGTGTAAATGGCGTACAGATTTCAGCCCTGCTGTTCCTGGCGCACCTCTGGACTACTGAAGCAATGGATCAATCCGTCTTCAGCATTTTAGAACTGTTTGTTTGTTTGCCCTGTTCCTGTAATTTTAGTGATCCTTTGCAAGTATAGAAGAGAGAAGTGTGAGTTCCTTTTTTCTATAGTATCAGTTTGCATGCCTTTAAATGCATATCGGTGTTTCCTACTGTTTCTTAATTAGGAATATCATCTTTGCAATGTTACTGCAGTGGAACAGACTACAGACATTATAGCAAACAACGTTAGGTAGTGCTTCTGTTACTTGTTCTTTGGAGTTGACAGGTGGGTTTGTACAGAGTGTGGTTTTTCTGCCTTCCTTATACTGAACAAATACCGTGTTTATTTTTTTTTTATTTTTTTATTTTTTGTTGTTCAAGTAATTTTTATTCATGTGCAGTCAGTTAAAATATATTCATGTAAAACATTTTTGGTCTTTTTTAGGTCCGTTTTCTATCTGACCTTGTGAACTGTCACGTAATAGCTGCACCGTCAATGGTTGCTATGTTTGAGAACTTTGTGAGTGTGACACAGGAGGAAGATGTACCCCAAGTAAGCAAAAGATCCATAGGCTTCTCTAGGGCTGTTTTAATGGCACTATTACTGTATCAAAACTTCTATACTTCAGCTTCAAACAGGGAAGTTTTAGAGGTAGCAACCTAAATGGACTGTCACGTGGAGGTTCCTTGGCATGAGTAGAAGTTGCCTCTGGTGCTTAGAAAATAATATGTATATGGTAAGAAAGCATGGGCCTTTATATTGAGGTAGCTGAACCAAATTCTTTTTACTTTACCTTGGCAACTGCATAGTGCCTGGATTGTTCTGCCAAGCTTGTTTACAGTTGTGACACAGATAATCTGCAGAAGGACTGTGAAGGGGGTAAGTTTTCCAAGTTTCCTGTCATGGTTCAAGTTAAAAATCATACATTCCAATAATAAATTTTTTTCATGGCTTGCCAATCCAGTCTTTAACAGCTGATCTTTATGTCCCCACAAAACAATAGTTTTTTGTAATGTTTTAGTTTAAATTAAAATGGGATGTATGTATGAAAACTTACAGAGCTTAATTGTACGCTTAGTTTTCAGAATTCTCCTTCTTGTAGGTCCGATGTGACTGGTACATGTTTGCGTTTCTGTCATCTTTGCCTTGGGTTGGAAAGGAGTTATATGAGAAAAAGGATGCTGAGATGGATCGCCTCTTGTCTCAGACAGAAAGCTATCTGAAGTAAGTTGTAAGCTGTTAAAATAATCCTAAAGTTACTTATTCAAGCATGAATTAATAGCTTTGATTATTCATATAAAAACTCTATCAAGTCTGACGTCTGAGTTGTTTGGGGAAGGAACATTGAAAAACAGAAGGATAGATTTTGTTTCTAATTGGAAAAGTTTTTTTTATATTGTTTAGTGCTAGGGTATGTGGAAGGTCCTGCCCAACTCACACTCAGCTGTGATGTGCGTGCTGGTAGGTTACTTCAGTGTTCTACAGTTTTTGCCTAGATGGTTCAAGTTAACGTTGCTGTCGAGATACTTTAAATAAATACAAACCTTCTTTTTGTGTACCATAGACTTCATCAGCTGAAGAGACTTAAGTGGTAGTACAGTCACACACAAAAAATGCTGTCCTAAATTAGCCTTTAATAGTAAAGCTTTCTGTTCTGTGTAAACAGACGCCGCCAGAAGATTCATGTACCCATGCTTCAAGTTTGGACTGCTGATAAACCACATCCACAAGAAGAGGTGACTGGTTTTTACTTTACGTTCTTTCAGAAAGTTTGAAACACAATTTTTGCCTGAAGCGTCCTTTAATCAGAACTATAAAATTAAGAGGTATCTCTAAAAGTGTTAATGCTTTGAATTATCTCCTGTTTGTCATTATTTCTGAGAAGTCCTGGATAAGGAGTTCTCTTTTAAGTCTTGGACCAAAGCATAAGGTTTTATGGGGTGAGTAGGAGACAGCTGACAAGTCCCTGACTAAATGTTATTAAATGAAGAGTGGTTGTAAGCTGGAGTATTCTTTTTGGACTTGCATGTGCAGGGCTTCTTGCTAAAAGGGCTTTTATGACAAGCAGCGTGTAATTACTTACTCATCCCTTACTGTTTTCTCCCTGCAAGAAAGAAACCTTTGAAGTGGCTTCACTTCCCCTAGGAAGTGCTAAACAAACACGTAGAAGCTGTATGCAGCAGTTACTGTGTCATCTTTCACAATTAAACTTCAAAATATTAGGTGGACGAGGTGGCATCTGGCTGGCTTAGGTAGAATTTGCCTTTTCTGTTTATTTTTTTCGCAGTTACTTTCTTTTTTTTTCCTCCTCCCTTGAGTTTGAGGATAATTTTTGTTGGAAAGCAATGAAAATTAGGTTGATTTTTCTCAGAAATTTTGGAACTTGGGCCTTTTTGTACATTTTGTTCACTGTTCTGATTAAATCAGATGCCTATTTTTAAATTCCCAGTCTTAACAATTGCCTTGTTAGTCATAATTTGAAGAAATGGGCTTTCTGATTATGATTGATATGTCAACATGAGCGTTCTGCCTACCCAATATCTAGATTTCCTTACTTAGTTATGCAGAGAACAGATTAGCAGAGTGCATTTGAGACCTGCTGTTATCCAGAGTACTGTAAACATTACTATTCACTTTAGGTGCCTGTACTAGTTATGTTTCCATTTCATAGTGTGATGATTTCAGTAAATGCAAAGCACTTTCAAATGAAGATGCTTCTTGTGTTGGTTATACCTTGAAAACTGCGTTCAGTAAGGCCACAGGCTGTAGCGGTTTGTGGCCTCCAGAGGTCCTGGACCGCTTTTATCAGGACTGTAGAAAGCAACTAAACCAGGCAAACTGCTATCATGGTCTCCTGGGCTTTGTTTTAGTGTTCTGAAAACGTATCAGTGTTTAAGTTTTGCTAACAAAATATTGTGTGGAATTTGCAACACCTCTGGTGGTTAGAGTTCCTAAATTATCTCTTGGTTTACTGAATCATTAGATCCCGCAATAAGCGGTTAAAGCAACTGTTTTTTCTTTTCTGAATGCAATGCAGAATTTAAAACATAAATTTTTGATTGTGCCGTGAGCTGCAAGCTTTGTTACTCATTCAGCATACCTGATGTTTCTCTTTTTTTTTTTTTTTTTTGTCTTTCAGTATTTAGATTGCCTTTGGTCTCAGATTCAGAAGTTGAAAAAAGACCGCTGGCAAGAGCGACACATTCTGAGGCCCTACTTGGCTTTTGATAGCATTCTTTGTGAAGCACTGCAACACAATCTGCCTCCGTTCACTCCTCCGCCTCACACTGAAGATTCGGTGTATCCGATGCCAAGGGTTATTTTTAGGATGTTTGACTATACAGATGACCCCGAGGTACGTGACTCCCGTGGAGGAGCTGATTTTACAATTAGGTTCAGGGGTCAGCAGCAGACATATAGACAAAAGTATATAGGAATAGGAAAGAATATGTATTGATTTCCCCAAGTACTTTTATACCTCCCTTTGCTTAAAGTCTGCTACCTTTTACCTTCATTTCTTGATGCTCAATTTTTGTCACCAATGAGACCATGACCAGTATTCTCTCCACTCTATCCTGGCCATTTTTTAGCCGTATTTTCACTCAGGCATGTTTTTTTCTGAGCTGCTTGTTATTAACCTGCCTCATTGCTATGTGGACCAAAAGAAGAAGTGGATGCTTCATGAACTCGTGATTATATTCTCTAATTTTGTTGCCTTTTATGAGCCCTTGTATTCATTTTGTTTTAAATATAAGTCTGAGGTTTGCATGCAACTGTGTCACACCAACTTCTCAGTAGGATATAGGGCAGCTGAGAGCTCACCATATTTGTTGTTTTTTTATTTTTTTTTTCCATGTGTACATAGAAGTAGTATAGTTTGCCTAACTTTCATGAATCTTCATTTGTTTTTTGAACTAGGGCCCTGTCATGCCTGGCAGTCACTCTGTTGAACGATTTGTAATAGAAGAGAACCTTCACTGCATCATCAAATCCCACTGGAAAGAGAGAAAAACTTGGTAGGAAGAGCTAATGCTATGGGGCCCTGGTGCTTACATACTACCATGGTTTCAGTAGTATCAGGGATACGCAGAGTCCTGCACTGGTTACACAAGAGCTTGGGATTAAATGTTTCCTAGAGTGTTTGATTAACTTCATTTACTACATTTAACCGTATTAAAACTGTTAGCTGCAATACTGTGGGGCTCTAATACACTGATCATGAAGATTACATATAATCCTGGGGCCGGTGGAACGGTATCTTCTTGAGAAGGGAATTACTTGATAATAAAGAATGTGGTGCAAAAATTTATACAGACACACATAACCCTTCATTGGAGCCCTATGGAGAGTATGGTTGTGTTACTCTTCCTGGAGTTTTAAAGAAGCTTATTTGTTCAGGCAGGATGAGCATTGAGCTGGTGTTCACAAAGATGCTTTTGCTTCCTGCTCCTTGTTGCCCTCTTCTCATAGGGATTGCATGGCAGAGAAAATGGAGCCAGCTCTGGGTACTCATTGCAGGGTCAACAAATTACATGTGTTTGAATTTGGAAGCGCCAGTAACCAGTCAAGGCACATTTCTTCATTTCTTTTTTCTGGGTAATATCTGGTGGGTGTAATTGGTAACTGAGGTTGTTTGCCACAGGTAATTAATTATCTGTGTCATGCTTCCATGAAAAACCCACCAAACTAGGTATAGTGTACAAAAAATGGACAAAACCAATGCTTGATGGGGTGTGATAAAGTTTTTTCCTTGCAGCTTTTTCATTCAGAAGGAACTGGAAATGCAAGGTTGTTGCAGTTATTGGAAGAGTCTGTTAATTCCCTGAGAAAGTAAATGAGGCAGATTCGAGATTTGCCAGAGGTAGAAATAAAATAAAGAGAGTATCAGTTGTTTGCTGTGAAATAATGGTAGGTGATAAAGAGCTGGTTAAAAGAGGAAGCATCTGAAACTTGGGAGTTTCTTATACAACCTGTTAGCTCAATTGTGCTTTCAAGTCATTCTGAACATCTGTTTCAGTTTGGATTTTTTTTCCACTTCGTATGTGCGTGCCAGAATTTCACGTCACCATGCAAAACTACTTTGCTTAGCGTTACAGAATTCAAATGTTATAGCAAACGAGAAATAAAATACATCTTTACAGGTCATAGTTCAGGCAGTGCCGGTGAGCTCTTGTGCTGCTCGTGTTGTAAGTGTCCTGTGGAACAACGGCCAGTCTTTGGAAGTGCTGTTGATTTGTGTGTGTGCTGATTTTGTGTGAATTCTTGCCCAGAATTAAGCATTTCCTGTAGATTTGTTACTGTATCTTTACATCATGTTTGCTGTGTTATATTCAGAACTAAACGTACCTATGGTTTTGCAGTGCTGCCCAGCTGTTGAGCTATCCAGGAAATAACAAGATCCCCTTGAACTACCACATAGTCGAGGTATGTGTTGTATAGGTAACTTCTTTCGTAGCTCCTTATTTCACAAATAAGACATCCCAATTAGCTCCATGATAGATCAATTAAATTACAGCTTGATTTGGGAGTCAACCAGAAGCTCACTGAATTCTAGGAATAACTTCAATGAGCAAGTTATATACAATCAAATGCTAGTTTTATTCTTTTTGTTGTAACTTTAACTTAGTGTGGGGGAGCTTTGGTCAAGTACTGAAATTTCTTAGTGCACTAGTATTGCAGGTTGTAGCATCTCCCAAACATTCTTGCTTCTAATTTATCCCATAGTTGAAGAGTTGGCTACAATTGAGTCACTTTTGCTTTAAAAAAAAAAAAAAAAAGGCACAAATTTGAAATATAGGAAACTCCTTTTAAACATAAGAAGACCGTGTTGTTGTGGTTTGGTTGGCTGGTTGTTTTTTCTTCAGTGAATGTGCTTAAACCCTGAAAAAGCTTGCCCATGGAAGGTGTAAATTCTCCATCCTTGGAGTATAAAACCCTCCAAAAAGCAGCCCTGGGCAACGTCTTGTAGGTGACCCCGCCTTGGGCAAGGGGACTTGACTAAATAATCTCCAGCCAACCTGAGCTGCTCTGTGTGATTCTGCGGGTGGATCTTCTAAATGAACATATTGGTCTGGCCCCGTAAAGATCTTGAAGTGAAATAGTGATGTTTCCTCCAGGGCACTTCCCATGTTAGAGGAGTTTAATTAAACGTAATGTGTATCAGAAGAGAAGAGCAGCGTAGGTTTTCTCGTAATGCCTCTTTTCAAAGGTCTATTTTCATGATACAGAGCTGTATAAAACTTCATTAATTTCTAATAAAAAATTGAAAGGAATTGACAGATTTCAGTAATAATCCTGACTTATATAAAGGCTTTATGAAGAAGTAACTGTCTATAAATAGGAATTTCGTAGTTAATTATAACAAGAAATAATCTAACGTAGAAGGTGTATCTTAATAAAGATGGGATTGAGAATTCCTGTTGGCACCAAAATGCCAAATATTCTGAATGCTGGTAAGTTGTATTATGTTTGGTCATGTTGCTCTATTTGTACTCTGAATTCAGAAGAGAGGAATCTCAAAATTGATAATAATTTTCTGTCTTAACATCAAAATATCTTCAGTGGTCTTATCTTCAATATCTTCTGGTGCTGTATATGGCTATATGGCTAGGTGCTTTATGCTCAGCTCAGTGTTAGTGCCAGCAAGTAGTTACTGCAATTCCTGATGAAATAAGGTACTTAAACACCTTGGAAATCCACTGATTCAAAGACTTGGAGGAGATGAAATTAAAAAGTCTGCATAGACGAAGTGACTGGAGACAAATGCAGGACTGGTGTATGAATTGTATTGACTATATCTGTCACAATTTCATTTTTCTTGCAATTTTGAGTTGTTTTAGAATGTTAACGTTATTACTTATGACTGTGTATTTTTAAAGAAGTTCCTGAATTTTTAAGGCTTAGCATGCATTTTGCAGACTTGTTCATTCTGCTTGCTACTACTCCTTTGTAAGGTTTCTCTTAACATTCAAGCCAGAAATTTATTGCTTTCAACAGCAGTTCAGCAGTTTCATCTGTGAAATTTCACTAACTTTTGTCATATGGCACAGAACAGTCGATATAATGTTGTCTAACAAAGAAATTAATAAAATAAATAAAGTATTATTTAAGATTGAGACCATAAGCATAAATGTAGCCTGAAACTGCTCAGTATCTTCCCAAATATATGTATTTTTGAGGTCCGTTAGGCTGAATGCTGTAGTTTGTCAGGCCGAGCTGTGTTTGTCAGAATGCTCTGTGCTCCCTAGAACCTGTGCAAAATATTCTGAAACGTGGCACCTTTCAGCAGCTGCTTATAAGCATATTTGTGGTATTACTGGTAGCTGTGAACAGAGAGTGTCTCAGCAGCGTGACTGGGTTGCTGTACTGGTATGACCTGTTGTGCGCTTATGGCTTTTGGACAGAGTTTGGATGTTCAGGTTTTCAGAGCCCTGACCTTTCTTGTGACCTGGTTATTTTCACAAAGTGCTGCATGCCAGTTTGAAACACTTCATCTGAACGTTTGATAACAAACCCATGATGAACATCAGAACTATTGCCTTGAGGAGTGTCTCAGAGAGGTATTTAGTGGTTGTCCAATTGTTGCTGTTTCCCATCTTCAGAACAGGAGTAGTTCTGTGCCTGACAGGGTCCCATCCACACCTTTTTATCATGTTTTTCAACATTATGTCCAAATTATTTTGTCGTGGAAAGGTTCTTCAGTTCCTTATGGTCTCTTCATGCTTTTAAATTCATCCTCAGAATATAAAGTTCTAGTCACTGTGTTTTCACGTGCTGTTTGTGATGTCTATAAATGGATGTTGATTTCTTACACTAGTAAGATTATCTGCTGCTTACTCGTTTAAGCTTTAATTCTTCTCTTCCGTGTTTATTTGGAAGTTGTCAGTAATTTAAATCTAGTTGAGAATGGCATGCAAACTAAACAGAAGCTCAGACATGAACGTTGTATAGTGATGATTTCTTCATAGCCCTTAAAGGTTGATGTCCTATTATTTATTTCGGCGAAGTTGAAAATAAAACATGAATGCAGGACTGTTTTTAGCTTTCTTACAAGGATCCTCAGCCAAGTGGTACAGGGCATGTATTTTTGTTGTATAAAATGCTGGTTGTAATTTTCAGTTTCAAGTTGTGGCTTTTATTTATATAAGTTTTTCCATATAGAAGAAAACAGGCCACTGTGGAAAAGTACAGGTTTATTTTTCTTGTAAATAGTCTCTCGTATTAAGTGAAGCTTAAGCATATGGTATATTTAATATTTATTATTTAAGAGGATTAGATAATTTCAGCTTTGGTTTGCTCAGATCATTTGGTGATGATGCAATATGGCATATTAAAACCATGCACATTGCTAGGCATGTATAATGCTGGGATGGTGTAGTATTAATTTGGACGATGAGGGCAGTTGCTCACTGTTTTTGTGTGATGTAGAGTTACCATTGTCTTTACAAATTTCACTTTTTTTTTTTTTCTGGAACATATATTTGACAGTAATATGAAGTCATTTGTGTATGTTGTTGTTCAAGGTTGATGTCACTGTTCTGGAGCTGAGGGTTTCGGAGGCTGACGTCAGGCTGTGCTCTAATTGTATGCCTTCCTCTCCTACAGGTGATATTTGCAGAATTGTTTCAGCTTCCGTCTCCGCCACACATCGAAGTCATGTACACGACGCTGCTGATTGAACTGTGCAAACTTCAGCCTGGTTCTTTACCACAAGTCGTATCCTTTCCTTGCTGCTGGAGAGCATTTTTAAAATGGAGTCTTTATGTTATTTGTTCCGTGGGTGCGGAGACAGCAATAAATACTGTCAGTAATAATGCCTGTTACACTCACATGAAAGAACAGCACAGCCCACATAGCACAGATCTAGTCTTGCTGGTTGGGCAAGACTCTTCAGATTTCTGGACACTGTTCTGGTACTTCCTCTCACCTACCCAAGAAGTGCTGTTTTAGTGAGGGGATAAAATATTAGCTCTCCTGTTTGTCAGTATAGCCTGTTAGGTCTGGATAATGTGTGGCATGGTCACAGATGCATTACAGGCTGAGAAAGAAAGGAAGTGACAAACTTGATCTTTTGTTCTAACAGCTAAGTGAGTGCTCCTACTCTTTTTTTTTTCCTCCAGTAGGAAGTGTAGCAGATGATTTAAAGGAACTTGCTTGAGTTCCCACTCAAATGCTCCCACTACGAGCATTTGAAAGGTCAGTAATCATCCGTCAGCACAGATAGTGTAGCTAAATGCTGAAGAAGGATGCATGACTCCCAGCTAATTCTGACTATTACATTGTCCCTGTTGTGCTGCCATTTTAGATCATGTTAGCTCATCGTTTCAGGTCACGCTATAGACTCTGAGAATGGAGGACTGTGAACAGATGCCTGCTAACTTCATTCACAAATTTTCATTATATTTCATGATATCACTCACTTTTTGAAAACCATACAATCTCATTGATCTATTCCTAGAGTTGTGTGGCCCTCTGTGCAGGAAGTTTTTAGTGTTAATATGGACGCCATAAGGATAAAGCCCTTCTGGGTGAAATCAGTGTAGACATACTTTCTCAATACTACAGTGTTGATCAAAGATTATGGGTAAGCTTCGACAGCAACCTGTGAAGCCATGATGGTGAGATTACAGAAATACTCCATTAGGAAGTTGGTGTCCATTTATATCAGTGCAGTTTCCCTTCTTGTGTGATCAGAATTCTGACTTTCTGTAGAAGAATCACATAGTCTTGTTACAATAACAGAAGAAAAATAGACTGGGATTAGAAGGTAGAACTCACTTCTTGGCCTGTAGTCTTTGTTCTTTTCCACTGTGTTTTTTCTGTGATTTACATGATCCTGGAGCAGTCAGTACAAGAGTTGATAAGATTCTATTCAAAAACTGAAAAGAACTACAACTGACTTATTTAATGCTTCTCTGTTAACCTTAATAAGAAACTTTCAGCTTGCACAAGCGACAGAAATGCTCTACATGCGTTTGGATACAATGAATACAACCTGTGTAGACAGGTAAAAGTGTTCTGGAGATGACAGAAAGTGTTATTAATTCTTCTTGTGCATTGGGTATTGAGGAATATGTGGAAGGAATAATCCAAAATCTGTGTTAGAACTTTATGGTGCTGTTCAAAATGATTTTGGGGGCTCTGGAATTGATCAGTCTAAATAGAAAGTAGGTGACTCTTGGCCTCCTTATAAACACTCCATGGTGAGTTGGTAAGAACTTTCTCATGTTCCAGCCTGGTATTCCAGTTCATTTCTAGTTGACTGGTACTAAGCCTGCTCCCTAGCGGCCTGGCAAGTGAGTGGGAAATGGAGTCTCGACACACGTGCCACCCAGAGGAGGAGAGTGGCTGTCATTTTGCTGTTTGAGTAAAGCCTGTGTTGTGCAGGAGAGCTGCTAACTACTCATCAAAAATGTGAAAGTTGCATATGCACACAAAGTTTACGTTTTGTTAGCTTAGTATGTCGTCTGTATGTATGGAACAACAGAATGTGACAGGCTGTCTTGTTCTTCCAAAATAGCTAGTTTCTGTTTCTCTGAACTTGGTCTTTCATATCTGTCAATATAAATGTAATGCTATAATGGCTTTAGAGTTCAAGCTTGCTTTTGACAAGTAGAATACGTTTACAGGAAAATCTCAATTGAAAGCTTTCCTGCACTTCTGGTATTTAATGGAGTTGTTTTTTTTTTTGTTTTTTTTTTTCCTTTTGATAAAGATTTATTAATTGGTTTTCTCACCACTTGAGCAACTTCCAGTTCCGTTGGAGCTGGGAAGATTGGTAAGTTTCTCTCCTTTTAATCTGAACCTCATATTGCAAAAACCTTAAACTTTCAAACTTATTCATGAAATGTCACAGTATACTGGCCCTGTTAATTGCTTTCCTCTAGCTTTTCAGAGATCTTTTTATAATCTGTTCACCACCATTCAGTGGCAGGTTATCTTGATAATCTTTTTAGTTACTGTATTGTCTGTCACTGACTAGCTTTGTGAAGAATCTCATGTAAGTGCAAGTGTGCCCTAAGGAGAAATAGAAATTTCTTTAGATTGTGCTGTGCCCTCGGTCAGTTGTTGGCAAATTCTCTGAAATGGCTCCTTATTTTAATGATTTGTTCTGATGCTTCCTCTCTTTGTATCCTGTGTTCAGGCTGTGATGATGCTCTCTCTCCTACTCTAATCTTTCATTTTAACCTTTGTCCTTGGGACCTTGGGGTCTGTTTCCCTCCTGCCAAATCCTGGTACACAAAGTTCCAGCATAGCTGCACCAGCTACCCATTCTTATCTTGCCAAATCATGAATTTGTATTCCTGGCTGGAGATCCCTGGACTCTATCACTGTTTAACCACAGGTTTCTCAGGTTTTGTGTTCCAGACGCCATTCTGGCTCTTTACTGCCATCTTGTTGCTCACTCTCTCCATTTTAGCAATATCACTTTGGCGTTCAGTCCTCTTTACAGACCTAACTTCTGCAGCCTGCTACCATACACACTCTCCATAGGTGATCTGCCCAAGCCTCATGGAGAGGGGTGCAATACGTTGCTGTGGCATTACTTAAGTTTCTTGTGTTGTCCTTGTAGAGTTAAGTGCTTGCTGGTTACTCTAGTATACATCCATGTTGGCTGACCAGTCAGTGCTCTTCAAAGAGCTGATTTTTCTTTGCATGGATGTTCCTTGATGGGAATGCTTATGTGGGTTTCTATCACAAGCTGCCATTTTTCACAAATCTTGAAAGTGTAACTATATTTGAGATTTTTCTTCAACTGAAATGCATTTGAAATCAGCCAGAAGTTCAGAAATTCCTGTGAGGGAGGAACAGACTATGAAATCACACAGGGTTCTTTTCCTCAGGAAAAAGAAAGCAGGCTAACCATCAGCACAAGCTATTTTTGGTCTGGTGGGGAAAAGAGTGCTACTTAAAAACATAGCACACAAAAGATGAACTTTCAAGATTGCTGATAATAAGGAAATAGTGATAAACCACCTCATTGTCTTAAAAATGCCTACACCATAAAACAGAAAGTGTTAAGCAGTCCAGCTATGCTTAGGCCATGATTGTTTTGCACGTAGTAGGCTAAGCCAAAAAGAGACTAACTCACAAATTCTTTCACTAAAAGCTATTGCATTCTGTCCTTTGATAGGTCAGATTGTCTTACTCAGGACCTTGAAAAGCCCAAACCCAAATTTGTGAGAGAGGTTTTGGAAAAATGCATGCGGTAAGTAACACCCTTAGATAGTTGAGTTTTAAACAAAGGTTGATCTTTTCTTCTGGATATAGTCAAATTCATTTTAACTTGACTCTTATCTTACACATGTCTGTTCTTAATGATTCAGTTTCAGCTAAGAGATGAGTCTGTACTATTTTGTTCTGGCCTACATACTGTAGGACACTTAGAACACTAATTCTATCAGAGTGAGGGAGAAATAGGTGGAGCAAATGTTACTGAGCTAGCTATCTCTAGGTATGCCCACCTATGTTTACAAAAAGATGTACTTCACCATAGGCATGGAAAGAAACAGAATTCAGTCACTATTTCTGGAAAGTATTAGGCATTCGCAGAGATAGAGGGAACTGATTATAAGTTATTCTAAAAGAATCAAGACCATTCATAGCTTCTGGGCCTCTATGATGTTGCTTGTATAGCTTCTGGGCCTCTATGATGTTGCTTGTATTTAAAAATAACAATAGTAGTAATTCACAAACAAGTTTCTCCAAAGCCCAACAATAAGAGTACACAATCAGGACTAGACTTAGGATTCTAGAGAGAGAAGGATATAGAAGGGAGAAAGAGCAAAATGTTCAAAAAGCCTATGTTGTTCAGTGTCCCACATGGAAACATTAATCCATATTAGAGTGAATTCAATATAGGAAGGGTGAAAGTATTGTACTACAAAATGAATGCATTTTTTTCTGTTACATTCTTCCATTTCACTGGAAACTGGTAGTGAAATTTAAGCCTTTATAGTAATCAAATCAGTTGGAAAGTAAAATCGAGAGATTTGTAGACATGAAGACATTTAATATTTTTTTCTGCTTGGATTACCAATGTCTTACTAGTTTTCTAGAAAGCATTTTAGGCTTTTGCATAAAGCATCCTACCAAGCAGCTTCTAAATCTTTTCACAAGCTAAGTTGTGAAGATGATACTCTCAGTATCAAAGTATTTGAATAGAGAGCATCTTCTGGTAAGTTACTTTTACTAACAGGTAGAAGCTACCACTGTATTGAAGAAACATCTGTGAAATGTAAAGACCAGAAAAAAAACATTGTAAATCAGTGACTTTGGTGTTGGCCCTGATGTTACAGTGTTGTGGTTTAACCTGGCCAGCAGCTACACACCACACAGCCATTCGCTCACCCGCCTCGCTCCCTCTCTGGAATGAGAGAAACAGGAAAATGAAGCGTATGGGTTGAGATAAAGACAGTTTATTAGGACAGAAAATAAAGGAAAGTAATAACAATAATGATGATAATAGTAGTAATAACAATAATGTGTACAAAGCAACTGATGCTCAATGCAATTGCTCACCACCCGCTGACCGATGCCCAGCCTAACCCTGAGCAGCCGGCTCCCCAACCCCGACTAGCCACCCCTATATATTGTTTAGTGTGACCCCATATGGTATGGAATACCCCTTTGGCCAGTTTGGGTCAGCTGTCCCGGGTCTGTCCCCTCCCAGCTCCTGCTGCACCCCCAGCCTGCCCGTTGGCAGGACAGAGCCAGGAGCTGAGAAGTCCTTGGCTTAGTGTAAGCACTGCTCTGCAACAACCAAAACATTGGTGTGTTATCAACATTATTCTCATCCTGAATCCAAAACACAGCACCATGCCAGCTACTAGGAGGAAAATTAACTATCGTAGCTGATACCAAGACATATAGCCATCTTCATTCTGCTCTGTGAAACTTATTTCCAGACTCTCCTACCATCAGCGAATAATAGACATTGTTCCTGCAAGCTTTTCTGTCCTCAGTCCTGCAAATCCAGTGTGCATTTACAAATATGGAGATGAAAGCAATAGTAAGTATTACGTGGTAGGTTACTTGAGTGGTCGAATTCAAGTGTTTCAGAACAAGGGAGCACACTAGATTGAGCATATCGGTTGCCTTCATAAAGCAAAGTGCAGGTGAAACAAATATAAGTGATTTTTTTTATGGGCACATATGTTCCATATGAGCAATTATTACAAAGTCTGGATCTCTGTATTACTATCTTTTTTAATTTTGTAAAAGAAAAGAAAATCCAGATACATTAAGTTACTTTTGCTGAGGTGGTTGTGGTATTGTACAGTATTGCATTGTTTGTCAGAGGACTAAAGTTGGAAAATCTATTTTCCCTGTTCAGGCACAATCCTATACAGAAGTAAGCAGATGAAATGATAATATGGGCTTATTTTTTTTACCTTCATAAAACAGTAGAGCATTCTACCAGTAAAATGGGTTTAATGAAACAGCAAATAATGTGGAGATTGACGTAGAGACTTTTTACAACCAATAATAAAAAAATTAATAGACAATCCTAAACATAAAGGTTTCGCCACCAAAGATGAAGTGAGGAAAAACAAGGCAATATTATGTCTTTAGGAAAGTGGGGGAAGCTGAAATATAACCTCAGAAAGGGAGAGTGATATGTTGACCTCAGCTCTAAAGATTGTACTGAATGTTTTGAATTTAACATGAAGACTAGGAAACCTGCTGAGCAGTGTTATGGAATAGTGGTATGGACAATGTCAAAAACTGCTAGTTTTAAGCGTATCTGGGAATTGTACTTGCTTCTCTGAGAGGCAAACTGATGATAAAAAATACTCAATTGTCTACTGATTTTTTTTGACCTCTGTGTTTAGGGTCTCTTCCTGGATATACTGTGGCACTCTGTTTAACAATTGCAATTAAAAACAAGGCCAGTAATGATGAAATCTTCAGCATTTTAAAAGATGTGCCTAATCCAAACCAGGATGATGATGATGGTAAGATACCTGCTAGGCTTTGCAAGGCTCTAAATACTTCCGTATGCACTGATTTACACTCCTCTAGAGCTATGTGTGTGCTGGTTAACTGAACTGTTTGTTTCTTCCTTCCTACATTTGGCTTTTAATGTATTAGTAAATAAAAATCATGCACTGTTGTTAAGGTTTGTTGTAAACGTGTTACATGCAGAAGCAAACCTCTTTTTCTTAACAGAGGTAACCCAGTGCTCGAGATGGCTTTTCCTGGAATTGTCGTCAGAGGCATCATGAAGGAATTTAACATTTCCCTTGCCTTCATAGTACAGTTCATGCTGTTTGCCTTACCCTGGCAATTCAGTTCTTTTGCCCTTGTCTAAAAGCTCCCCTCTTCTCAGTGCAGTCTCACGGCAGACAAGACAGCCGCATGCTGGTGTTAATCTTGCATAGAAGGTAGTTCTCTTCCTCCTACAATAGAAACTCACAATGGGACTCCATGCAAGTTCTGCTGAGCTTTGCAGCCTCAGGCAGTATTGATTGCTAAAGCCCATGCATTTTAGGGGGTAAGAATGAGTACGAGATGGAGAATTTGTCTTCTGAGAAGTGATCTGTGCAATGGGGATGGTTTCATAGTATATAGTATATTTCCATAGTAACAGCAATTGCTCTACCATGCAAGCAGAGAGCACCAGTAATAAGTTTCTTGTCCTGAGATCCTCTATCATGTCTCCTGATGTGGTTTAGGTGTCACCCAGTAACCAGTGTTGCCTGTCCTGCTTGTCTTCATCTGTAGATCTACAGGAAAGATTTAGCACCATTCACCTCTATACCCGTGTTCACTATGCACACTTGTTTGACCTTCTCCCATATTAGAAATAGCCACCCTTTCCTAATCATCCTTAGCTTCACCTGTGCTCATCCACTGTCCTTTCCTAATGGTCTACCAGGCCTTCAGCTTGATGCAAACCTCCTTGGCTCTCCCTCTCTGCTGCTGTTACATGCTTGTAGTGGGACTATGTCTCTGATACCTTCTTCAGTGGCCTGGAATTCACCCCGTGTGTTTTCCCTGTGACAAAACGGGGGTGTGAATATCTGCAATACATATAATACTTGGTAAAATAAGTACTTGGAAAGTCTTTACCAGCTCCCTGCTCAGCCTTGCACGACCCTCTTGCCATTTTATTTTTTTTTTTGTGAAATGAGTTAAAACCATAAGTTACTGTTCCAGTTTTATGTGTAGTTTACGTGCTCTGCTTGAGGTACTTACGGTTTGAACTTCAAATAACTTGCAGATGAAGGATTTACCTTCAACCCTCTGAAAATAGAAGTCTTTGTTCAGACCCTGCTCCATCTAGCTGCAAAGTCTTTCAGCCACTCTTTCAGTGCCCTGGCGAAGTAAGTGTAATACGTATGTTCTTTTGGGGCTAACAGAACTGTTTAATTCTGACAACAAAATGACTGACAAGAAAGCTGATCTCCAGGCTTCAGCCAGGAGATCAGGCTTCACAATGCAGTAGGATTTGGAGAACTAGTGATGCTGCTTACTGAAGGAATGTAGTGTAAATGCTAGCTCACATATGTGAATGGAGTTAACAAAGGTATATTGAGCTGTGTGACGTATGTCACAGCGGTGTGATGCACATCAGATGAGTGAGACAGGTTTGGAACCTAAATCCATTTTAGGATTACTCATTTGCTGCGCATATGAGGAAAAAGGGATGTCTCTTTATGTTCGAATGACTGGGTAACAGTCATCACGTTATCTTTACTATGAGTATGACTAACAAACAGTAAAGCCTGGAGAAAATGAGAAGAAAATAGGAAATTTAAAAGCAGCTTGCTACAAATGTCTGTATGTAACAAAACAAAGTAAGATCAATTCCTGAGTATTTTGGAGAGCACCCCTTAACAAAATTCTTTAAAGAGTTTACTTTACCTTTTTTTCAGCAAAATGAGATAAAATAGCTCATTTTTAGTACTGTGTAATTTGCAGGTGTTATTAAATGGCCGTGATCTGGGAAAGGTAGCTAAATACGTCTTAATGGATTATTTTTGTGTTTGCCAGTAAAAATACAAAGAGGTAATACAAAAACCTGCTCTTGGAAGCTCTGTAAAGGCCGTGTTTACAAGAAGCTGTTGCAGTAACCTGCAATCAGTAGTACAAGAGGCCGGCTGATGTAAATACGCAGAGCCATAATATTTTCCCTGCTGCAGACCAGCAGTGGCAGGCATGAGATCAAAAAGGTCTAAATAGTGCTTTATAGTTACATTACAATAAGCCGATTTGTGAACACTGTGTGGCATTGAGCATAACTATGCTAAAATTGAGGCTTTAGCTGCACTTCTGTCAAAAAGAGGCAGATTGGTTAAGTGTCTAAAGTTATGGAAACACATATCGAGAAGGTCTAAGGCTCAAAAAGGCAAGCAAATTTTGCTTCAGTTGTGTAGCTAAGTACACCAAGCATGAAAGTGCCTCCTGCTTTCTGTGAGAGTATGAGAAATGTAGTCCACTGGCAGGGAGAAAGTTCACCACCGAGATTCAAGCAGCTTTTAGGGCTGTAGATTTTTTTTTTGGCTCAGACTGATTATATTTTCTGTAGATTAATTGTTCAAGAATTGCTGCAGATAGTCCCAGAATTCTCATTTTGGGCAGTCTAAACCACCTGCCTCATATCTCGTGCTCTTTTGACCTGATCCCAACCCCTCCACTGACTATTCTGTATCTGTTAAAAGGTTTCATGAAGTCTTTAAAACACTTGCTGAAAGTGATGAGGGAAAACTCCATGTTCTGAGGGTTGTATATGAGGTTTGGAAGAATCACCCACAGGTAAGAGGTTGCAATGTAGTTGTGAGTTTTGACTCACAGAGGTCATATTAAATAAAAAGCAGTATAGTTTGCTTTATGTCCTTTAAAAGATTCTTGACTATTGACTTATTTGAAGGAAAGTTCAAATTGTGTTTACTGTTAGTAGTGCCTAAAAAGAAGGTTGGAGGTGAAGTATATACTGTGAAGCCATTTGTTCCTCAGTAAATTACGGGAGAGCAAAGGCTGTCATTCTGACTCAGCTTCATGCTATGTTTTTTGTCAAATAAGAGTGTAATTTTGCTAAAAACTTGTATCTGCTCAAAAATTGGAAACTGGTGTTGACGTGTGGAATGGAAAAATGTGATGTAGATCTCATAACAAAAGCAGGCAAAATTTTTGGATATGAGAAAACCTGATTTCAGAGCATTTTTTCACTTGGTAGTGAAAGCCATGCAGTTATTCCACAAAGATCATGTTGGAGTCACTGTTGTGCATGTGCAAAGTGAGTAGAGCTGCAGTCAATAACTGTTCAGAACAGATCAGTCTGACAGTACCATGATTACATTCAATCTCGAGCCAGAGGAAATAACACCCTGGAAGACCTATGAAAAATACCTCACTTGTTTAAGCCGTTCAGTTTCCTCACAGCAGTTGTTTTCTCCCTCAGCTGTCATTCTTCTATAAATAGAAATCAATAAGGAACTCATGCTGAATTTGCCTGCATTAATTATTTCATGTATTCCATACTGATGTGTTTGTGTTACACATAACCGTGTTTGAAAGTGGACCGTATTTCACAGCTGCATAGTCCAGACTTTCCGAAGCAATTCCACTGAGAGCAATGGATAATTCCTGCATCTGCTACTGGACCTGTGGTCTGTTCTCTAGGGCTCATAAGGGTAAAAACTTAGTGCCTAACAGAGATATAAGATCTTGTCTAGGTATCTTTTAAGTACAGTAAAAAAAATAATAAATAAAATAAAGAAAGAAATAGTTTTTTATATATAAAATTTCCTGCGCAAAACACTGACCTTGAAAATGTGATGATTGCAATCTGACCTACTTCTTACTACTGTCCTTTAACTGGATCAGAAGAAATTATGTTACTGCAATCTAATATCCATATCCTCTTCATCCGTTTGTACTGCAGTAGGACCAAACCGAGATGGAGGTTTCAAACCCATACTTAATGGTTACATTAGACTTTTATGAATAAATCAAGATTGCTTTAAAACAAGTTATGAAGGCCTTGATCATGGAGCCTAAATTTCCTCTCCTCCATGTATCACAGTTCAGTTTTTTTGCTTCTTGTTAAGCACTTTCTTTTCTGTGAGTCCACAACCTCTGGCACATAGACTCTGTACGGAGTCTGTTTTATGCAGCTCACCCTGCTCCCGTATAAATGGGAACGTCTTTTGATTTGGTTCAGACTAACAGTAGTATTTCTGAGGCATATAATAGTAATGAGTGATCTCTGTTGCAGATAGTGATTTAGCAGCAGGAATCAGTAGTCCCTGGACCAATTTAGAAAGGTTGTGTTGGTGACTTCATAAAGAGAAACTCCAACACTGAGATGAAATCTTTTCCCCAAATTCTAAGCCATTTTCTAAGCCACTTTCTTGGAAGATCAGGCTAAGTAATCAGAGATTCGCCTTGGCATTACAGGAAGGCAAATAGAGCACAGGATGCTATCCTGGGACTTGAAAGTTGAGTCCTGAGTCTTCTGTATGATTCATCCAGTTATTTTAATTTTCCTTCCTTAAAAGGAGCTTTGTTACACTTCCTAATGTGACAATGGCTGGTTGTGAGGATAAATACATTGCAGGCTGTGGTTTTCAGATGTTGTGGTATTCAAGCACATGAATAACTAAGATAAGCCTTTTTTTCTTTTTTTTGAACAGCTTCTAACTGCTTTGGTCTGTAGCTCTTCTCTGCAGTTGCCTACTAGATTACTTGCAAAGCTTCTGGAATCATGACACTGCCTGTAGCAGGCAAACACTTCCATTGACTTCAGAGCACCGGCTCTGTCCTAATATGAGTAGTTCCTGTGGGGAAGAGCTTATTGTCACATTTGAAAACTGTTGCAGTGTGAGGAGAGTAGGCCAACAGTTGTTCTTTATGGTGATACAGGAGTTGTATAGGCTGTGGTTTTAGTGCTTTGATGACAACGCTTGGAGTTGTCCATGACGCTTCACTTCCAACTCTGATGCTTGTATTTTTTGCTTGTGTATGGAAATATGTAACTTTATGAAGAGTGATGCGATACTTTCACAAGAAGAAAAAAAGGTTATTAAACAAAATGAGAATGCTTGCTTTATGCAGTTGATACAGATCCTCTAACGTAAGTAGCTTTAGGCTAGACTAACCAGATGTCATCTCTAGACAGCAGTAGCTTTTTTAAGTATTTGAAATTACCCAGTAATACCACTAATATTGAGTTGCATCAAACCACCTCTGAGGCTGGAGTACTTTGCGTAGGCTGAATGTTACCACAAGACCTTTTCTTATTTTGGTAGAAATGACTATCTTGTCTTTCACAAAATACAGATGATTGCTGTGCTTGTGGACAAGATGATTCGGACACAAATTGTTGACTGTGCTGCAGTAGCAAACTGGATCTTCTCCTCGGAGCTTGCACATGATTTTACTAGGTAACACGAACTTGTCTTAGGTTGTTTTTCTATGAATTACTATTTTAAGTGGCCACTACATCTATGAAAACTGAGTAGTGTAAGCGAATGGTACAATTAACATTGTTCCGTCTACAAAATACCTACTTCAGCATCTTTCTTTCTGAGTTGGTGTTGTGCTTTAACCTGGCCGGCAGCTACACACCACATAGCCGTTTGCTCACCTTCCCCCTCCCTCTCTGGGATGAGAGAAATGGGAAAATGAAGTGTGTGGGTTGAGATAAAGACAGTTTATTAGGACAGAAAATAAAGGAAAATAATAACAATAATGATAATGGTACTAATAACAATAATATGTACGAAACAAGTGATGCACAGTGCAATTGCTCTCCACCTGCTGACCAATGTCCAGCCTAACCTTGGCTAGCCACCCCTATATATTGTTCAGCATGACCCCAGATGGTATGGAATACCCCTTTGGCTATTTTGGGTCAGCTGTCCCGGGTCTGTCCCTTCCCAGCTCCTGCTGCACCCCCAGCCTGCCCGCTGGCAGGACAGAGCCAGGAGCTGAAACGTCCTCAGCTTAGTGTAAGCACTGCTCTGCAACAACCAAAACATCAGTGTGTTATCAACATTATTCTCATCCTAAATCCAAAACACAGCACCACGCCAGCTACTAGGAGGAAAATTAACTCTGTCCTAACTGAAACCAGGACAGCTGGCATTGTGTGTTTGTATGACGAGGCAAGAATGTTGCTAGCATGTCATTTTGCAAGTAGTCTCTAAACATACCAAAGTGGAAGAACACTGGAAAACATTCTTAGGCAAAGCTTGTTACTCTGTTGTGTATGTAGGTTTTATATCTGGGAAATCTTACATTCCACAATTCGTAAGATGAATAAGCATGTTCTGAAGATTCATAAGGAACTGGAGGAGACTAAGGCAAGATTGGCCAGACAGCACAAAAGAGTGAGTAATTTGTTTGTAATTCTTAATTATTTTAAGCTAAGTTACACAAACCTGCATGCTGCCAGACTGATGCATAATTGCTTTTGGGGAAGGACAGACTAAATATGCTTATCAGGAAGTATGTATGCAGACATGGTCATTTGTAGCACTTAAAAACGTTAAAAACTGATTGCGTGTTATCAATCTGCATTTCTGAAGTTTGCAATTACGTAAGAAATCAGTAAAATCTTTAGGGGAATTCACGTCTATTTACTCTGTCCAAGCTTTCTCTCACAAGCTTCTCTTCCAATATGAGCATGTCTTCCATTTCTCTTCTTATCTGGATTCCAAATTACCTTATTAGGTAACACTGAGAACAGTTACAAACTATTTACATATTTACAGTAAGTTCTGTTAAAGAGTACTCTTGTGGCTTCCATGCAGAAGTGCACGGAAACAGCTATTTGCTATTGAAAAGTTGGCTGTTACTGTTCTTCTGATGGATGCTGCTGGATTCTGACACTGGCACCTGTCATTTCCTTCTTCCAGGTTATTTTTCTGAATGCTTTTTGCATGATGCGAGTTACTGTATGCAACAAACTGATGAACAATCTGCTGTTGTGTTCTCTTGTCCCAAGTAGGACAGTAAGATGGGGTGAGAGCGTGTCTTCTGTGGCAGTTGCTGAGGACAGGACCCTTGGCTGAATGTAATACTAGGCCGTGACAGTATGAAGTCAGTTTATAGACATGTTGAGAGTCACAGAGAGTAAGAAAGAATTTCCTAGTTAATGCATAGTCTGTGAGTGTGCGTACTTGCACAAAACCCCTAGCTAGTCCCAAAACTAAGTCAGAATTTGGCACGTGGCACAGAGGCTGCTTGTGGTTTTTGAAGAAACCTGCACAAGTCATTTGATTCCAGGAGTACCTGTGAAGATTTCACCAACATCTCACAGTTAGCTTGTGCAAGTTTATCGCAGCCTCTTCGTCTTTTTCTGTTCACTCCAAGCAGCAGCTGTCATAGTTGTTTGCATCCTTAATGTACATTGATCAGCAGTTAATAAATGCCGGTAATTATTGAAGACTTGGATGCAATCATTGATCTCACTGTGAGACAAAGAGCTTCTCTGGCATCTTGAAACGAATACATCAGTGTTTTTGTTTCTGTACTTGTCTAATGCTGCAGCTCTTTATTACTGAATTCTTTAAATGAGTATTGTGCCAGGAAGAAGCATTTGTATGCAACAGTGAGTAGTCCTGCAGGCTGGTGCTCTGCTGCATGACCATTCCTTTTAGAGGAAGGAAACCATCAAATTTTGATGTCCCCAGCATGAAATGGATTGCCTTATTATGGAATGAGTCCAAGCCTTCTCTTAGGTCCCATTGATCTTTCATCATTTTAAGTTCAAGTAACCTCTGTAGATGGGGAAAAAGTAAGTTCCTATAGAAAGAATAAAATAAAGTCCTCAGGTTCACATTTGATCTGGAAAGCCTTTTTTTTTTTTTTTTTTTTTTTTAACACTGACTCAGAGCTATCAGTGTCTTCTGATTGTGAATTTCAGTTGTCATGCAGTAGGTGAGTTAAGATGTCCCCACATTTGTCACAAGTCGCTCATGTTCATTTTACAAATATTTTAAGTTTTTAGCTGTTGATTGTACGGGCATTTTTTACATGGAAACAATGGGGTATGACACAATATCTACATCTGAATGTATCCTAATCCATTTGGTTCTCGCCATCCTCCTGTATCCCATTTAGTCTTGTGTAAAACTTTGTTATCTGAGATCACAGTCTGATACCATGTACTTGTGGGCATTTTGTGGAGCATTTGTTTCCCGTTTGTTTTTCTTTGGGAGTGGGGGTGGTTCGTTTGGTTTGGTTTAGCTTCAGGCAGCGAGAAAATTGCATGTTACTAGTTTGGTTTCCACCCTGTCCCTTTGTAGTCTTGGAGCTGTAGTCTCTGTTTGGTCATGAATAAGGGGAGGTCCCACTTCAGCACCTTGGGCTAATAAAATGGCTGGTTTTCCATGTGTGCTAAGCAGCCAGATTCGTCTGACCTCTAGCACAAAGGCACTTTATTTTTTTTGTAGTCCTGAGATTTCACAACTGTTCGCTGGATGAATTGCCTGTCCTGTAGCAATGGCCACAATTTAAAACATCTATGCCTTTTTTTTTTTTTTTTTTAAAGCTGTTCATTATCTGGTAATGATAAAGTCAGCAGGCATTATTACCTTCTATTGTTTCTCCAGTATGTAAAAGCTTAGTAAATCTTTAAGCTTTCTCTGGCTGCTCTGATACTTTGATTTTTTTCAAGCCTTTTCCACACTGGTGTCTTTTCTTCCAAGTAGGTTTTCTGTTATTATACTCTAAGTAAATATCCTAAAGTATGCAGTTCTTGCCAAGCTAAAAAGCAGCTTCAGTTGCTGCTCTTCAGTTTCTCTGTAGACCTTTTCACAGGTAAAACCAGAATGCATTAACAGTATCCACAGGTAGCCAGGTTGCTAGTTAGTGTGTTATTGTCACTTACAGCGAGACAGCGATGATGACGACCGAAGCAGTGATCGGGAAGATGGACCTCTAGAAGAGCAGATAGAGCGTTTGCAGGAGAAAGTTGAGTCAGCTCAGAGTGAGCAGAAGAATCTCTTCCTTGTTATATTCCAGGTAATGACGGGCAAGGTCTCATCCCACTTCTAAGGTTACTGAATTTATACGCTTTTGGTGTCACTTGTATCTTAGACATACTGTCGGGATGAGGAAAAGGGAATAGGAAAACAGGTTGATGGGCTTAATGTGGTTTAGAGTCGATTCAGATCATCCCACAGCAAAGACTGCTGCTGAGCAGAATCTGTTTAGTTTCACGTGCACAGGAGCAGAATTCTGCTAGTATAGTTTCCTGAACAACCAGAAGGTAAGTTGGTTTTGTGTGCTAATTAAGCGTCTGCCAAGCAAAATGATTACTCTCACGTTGCTGCTCAAAGTTTCTGTCCCTAAGATACCCTTAGTTGAAGTTAGGAACCTGCTTTCATTTGATGAGATGAAATAAGTATTACTTTTTTTCCTCTCTTGAAGCGTTTCATTATGTTGTTAACTGAGCACTTAGTGCGCTGTGAAACCGGTGGAATCGATGTATTTACACCTTGGTACAAGAGCTGTATAGAGAGGTTGCAGCAGATCTTCCTACAAGTAAGTTCCATTTCTCGGTTTGGAAGGGTGTGGGCAGGCGCATGCTGGGTTGAAAAGCTTTTGTGGCTGGAGAGCGGAGCACTCCGTTAGAGCAGTAGGTGGCAGCATTATATCTCTGCAGGCTACTGCAGGGCTTGGCCATAACTTTCTGGTTCTGGCCGCTTCTTTGCCACATGCTGGTGGAAGGACTGGATCTTGCAAAGTAGATTCTGAGCTGTGACTATGAAATTAGCTGAGCTACTTTTGACTGTGCTTATCGTAAGGGCAAAGCTCTGAGCAAACAAGAATACTAAAATAGAAGTCTCTTAAATACGTGGATGAAAATACTGCAAAATTCCGTTTACTAAGATGTATAAATATATCAGAAATTCAAACGGGAATTCTTGGCACTGTATTAAATCAGGTAACAAGCACAGATGAAATGATGAAGGCTACAGTAATGAAAAAATTGTAGCAGTGTGAGCAGGACATATATCAAAAGATGGGTGACTGCAAGGGAGTGTCAGCGTAATTCTCCCATGGGCTGAACCCTTCCCTGGCCATAGATGTGACTTCAGAGCATGGCAAATAACTTGAATCTCTGAAGATATTTCCGCAGTTGCCTCTGGACATGGCATACTGCATGCAATTCAGTGTTCGGGAGTGGAAAGCCACAGAGAGCATGGTGCTTCTTGAAACAGGCTATCAGTGTGTGCTTTCTTTTCTTTGTGCAGTCAGTGGTAGTTCTGCATCGTGCCTTTCTTATCAGCGGCTAATGTCTCATGGAAATGAGATGCGCTCGGCAATTTGGGTGAAAATACTTGATCTGTGATTCTTAAATGTATTGACTTCTCTTCCTGTTCTTATATAAAGATAAATAAAAAACAAAACTTTTTTTTTTTATCTGCCAGCATCACCAGATAATCCAGCAGTACATGGTGACCCTGGAGAACCTCCTGTTTACAGCTGAACTGGACCACCACATACTGGCTGTGTTTCAGCAGTTCTGTGCTCTGCAGGCCTGAGGAGTATTCGTGGGCAGAGTGGCAGAGTCTTGTCTGCAGGACTTTAATGAATTAATTTTTTTTTTTATGCGAAACATGGGGATGAAAAACTTTTTGACTAAAACTGGCTTTCATGTGCTCCTACGTAAAACAATACAGTACTCTAACCTACAGCAAACTGTGTAAGCATCATAAGCCTTACTAGATACGATTCATAGGGGATTGACATAAAGTAAAATACAAATTCTTTTAATCTGTCTTTTAATTTGGTTTGACTCTTGACTTCATGCTAGCATTTTTCCCCCCCTCTTTGTTTATATGAAAAGGAAAACCAGGCAAAAACTACTATAGGATTTGTTACCTCTGCCTGGCCCTTAAATCAAAGGAATTGCAAAAATGTGAAACAATTTGTAGTGTTTTGTGAGTGTGAAGGGGAATGCGCTTTCTCAGTGAACAGTGTGGTAAGTTCTCTAGGATGGCACAGGAAAAAGTGTCTTAATTTTGGGCACGTGAAACATTGAGATAAGCTTTCAAAGTAGGATACAGCATACGGATTTATTATCAAGCCAGCTAGATTTTCAGAGTTTGAAAGAACATGGTTGTAATACAATTGAAATATGTTTTTTAAATGTATTGTCTGGTGTCTTATTCCAGTAGCTATAAACAATCAGTAGAGGAACTTCATGTACGTCTTCTGAAAAATGCAATCCTTTTTGCAGTAGGATCAAAGAACCATGAACTGCTCCTGGCAGTCGTCTCCACTGGTAGTAGGCAGAGACAGTCAGCAACACTCGGAGTGGGACGGATTTTCTACTGCTGTACTGCTCACCTCACGGAGGTGTAGGGGCCTCCAGCCCCACAGCGGAGAGGGAAGGGCAGTGTCCAGCTTGTTCCTTAACTCCAGCCTGTAGCTAGCTGGGCTGCACCTGCAGGGATCCCAGAAGCCCTTCTGGTACTGGCTGCAGATAAACCAAGTGCCCTCGCCTTACCTGGCTTAGTGACAACTGCTTCGTGGTGGCTGTATCTGCTGCCCTTCCCTTGCTTCAAAGCGTGGCAACAGCATGTGGCTCCCATGTCTTCAGAAAGCGTTTTAATGCTAAACTGATACCTTATAGGAGAGTTAGACTGGGGAAACACAACCTGAAAATAGAGTAGCCTTAGTTTCGAGTTATGCAAATGATTTACTTATATAAATGCCAAATCAGCAGTCTGTTTTACGGTAAGCAGTGACGAATGGCAAAGACACTGCCTTAGGTGCTCAGGTCTGTACTGTGCAGCGTACTTCCAAGCCGTTTATGGTCTCTTTATTTTGCTGGTGAATGTTTAAAGAATTTTGTACCTAGTGCTACTCAGTTCAAGCTCAAAAGTGATGAATTTTGGGTAATTTTGTTCCTTGTTGAAGTTTTGTTCAAATTTTTTTTCAGTGTTATGCCTAGTAATGCATTTCATCCCAACATTAATGAGTTGACCTCCTAATCAAGTGAGGAGGGTTAAAAAAAAAAAAAAATACATTTTTTACTTTGAGTGTTGATTTAAGCTTGTATGTGGCCTGTAGCAATTGGATATATCTCATAGATTAAATCTGTTACTTCTGCTTTGTCTGCTTCCCCTCTCTGATTTGACTGACCCCTCCCTTTTAGAGTATACTGTTAAGTGTTACGAATTTGCTTTATGCAAGGGTTTTGTCAGTTGTGCACAGACTTCTGCTTCAGACCTTTCTGTTAATGTTCTTGAGTAATCAAATAGCCTTTTTTTGAAGAAACATTTAGCATTGTAGAGAGTTTAATTGATTTTTTTTTCCACTGTCTCAGATCAGTGAGGAATTCTGATATTAACCAGTGGTGGGGATCTAACTGACTGTGATGTGATTTCTGTAAAAGCGATGATGCGGATAAAACTTGCAAACCTGTAACTTCCTCTCAGCCTCAGCAAATAATGGTGCTCAGGATCCAGTCGCAAACACCTGTGTGCGGACAGCGTAATCCTGTGATTTAAAACCAAATAGCAATGTCTTTCACAACTGGTTGAACTTCCCGTGTGTGCATGGGCTTTGATTACATCCCTGCAGTCTGTGGGAAGCCCTGTACTCCCGGTCGGTCTGGCGGCACACGGCTGGGTGGACTGGACTGGGAAACCGGTTGGATCTCTGGGAGAAAGAAGGAATGACACGCTTGTACCTAAAAGCGATACGGGCAGCTAGCTGCAGGAACTTGGAGCTGCCGCAGTACAGGGGTTGGCAGATAGCATAAAGATGCTGTAGAACTGTGGCGTGCTTGGAAAAAATCCACAATTAAAAGATGAAAATAAATGAAGGCACAGCAGCTTGCTACGGGGAGTGTTTGTCCGAGCTGTTTTTGGGGGGTGGCGCTGAAGCAGCGCAGCCATCAGAGGGTTGTACTGCGCTAGGTGCGGCCGGGTTCGGACCCGTTTCCCCTGTGCCACGGCTGCCAGTCCGCACAGCCAAGGGTGTGCGTGCTGCCCGCTGGCACAGACGCCTTCCCTCTCCTTGCCACCAGACAGCCAGGGACTGGTAGCACTCCCAGCCCTCTGCCCGGCCATGTTTTGGGGCTGCACTGCCTCAGCAGCTTCCCCGAGGCCTGCCCCGTGTCAGCGTGGTGGACAAAGGGCAGGGCTGACCGGAGGTGGCTCCCTGTCTGCAGCCATTTCCACGCGCATTCCTCGGCAGCAGGAAGGGCAGAGGAAAGTTGGAAAAGGGAGGAGGGCGCGCTGGGACCGAGTTGTCCCCCTGCGCACGCCGAGAGCAGGCAGGTACGTTCAGTCAGCGCGGCAGGGGAACGCTGCTCCCGGCCTCGCTCAGCACCAGGAGAGGGAGTTGCCAGGAATTACTCACACCTCCCTCCAAAATGGAGGTGAGCGCAGGGAGCCATCTTGCGCTGCCTGGGCCAAGCAGGGAACAGCAGCAGAGGAGGGCTGCTCGCTGCCAGAAGGGTGCTGGCCTCACAGCCCCTCACAGCGGGCTGCTTTCTGTGGGGAATGCTCCTTCCCCCCAAAAAACACCCTTGCTGCAGGCAGAGGGCTCCAGCTCCCCATGAAGGAGAGGAGGCTGCCTCCTGCTGTGCTAACTGCACCAGCCATGTTAGTTCTCAGTGTGCTTAGAAAGGACAAGGACGAGGACCAGGGTACTGTAACCCGTGGGGAAAGGCATCTCCCACCCTCACTTACAGATACCCCGTGCCCTGCTGCCCATGACAGGTCTTAGTAACTGGAAACCAGCTGGGGGAAGTTTTCCACCTTTAATTTCATCAGAATAGCGTAATGATGCCAACTTATCTTTCACCAGCAAGGTAACAATTTCTTGAACTGTTACAAATGTGCATCTTCCACCCCAAGACGTGCCCAGAAAGCCCACCCTTACTGTTCTGTAGTTTCTCACAAAGAAACATTCTTCACCCAAGTTGTCCACGCTTTGGTCATAATTAGTTTATTTGACTTTAATACAAAATACAATTAAAAAGATACTTAAATTAGAAAAAAAAAATTACATCTTCTCATAAGTTAATTCATGGCCACATACAGTACATGTCTTTTTGTATGTATCTTCATCAATGTTTTCTTCTGGTCCGTATTCATGCTCGTGGATGCTAGCTGCTCTCTTCCACAAACTGTTCCTCACTGCACGGCGGAGCTCTGAGGAGAAAGTTAAGAGGATTTTTTTGAGAGGGTGAAGCGTTAGTGAATAAAACTCAAGCCACCCACCTTTTGAGGCCTACCCTTGACAACTTGCTTTCGGCCTGTCTGACATAAATTTGTTCTTGCAATACTCGTTTGCAGGAACAAGTTTTGATTTGCCTCGCAGTCAGCTTCGCCTTGTTCACAGGGTTTTAAAGGACAGGAAATACAATGACAAAATTTCCCAGCAGGTTTTCCACCTGGAGTAAGCATGTATTGCCTCATACATGCTGCCCTTCAAAGCTATCCAGAAGGGCTGGCTGGAAGGAGGAGGCAAGCATGAAGCACCTCATTGTTTTACATGACTAAGAAGAAGCACTTCTCATTCAGGTCACAGTATTCGTCCTAAATGACTCTGCATTCTCCCAGCTCTACGCCCAGTAGCAAGTTGCCTATCCAGCAGCTGCAGTGAAGTCAGCGCCCCGCGGTCGAGCCTGACATACTACTTTCTGCATGTTGCAAGTGGGTGGCAGGAATACTAAGCAGCAGAGGGTAGTAACATTTCCAGCCAAGTCATTTAGGCTGCAAACGCCGTCATGTTAAGGCCTGTCCTTGCCCTGAACTCCATCATCCCTGCCACGGTCTGCTGCAATCCCTCCTGTTTGCTCAGCCCTCTGTGCTGCCTCCTCCAGACAATGCCAGCGCGGCCAGCCCGAGCCCTTTGGCTCCGAGTGCGAGCCCCGCACAGGCAGCACCGCGCCGACACCACGGCAAGCCTCAGCTCTTGCTAAGAAACAGACGCGCAGGCTCTTAAAATGACCGGCGTGTCTGAGCTGAAAGCCTTTTTTTGTAGTTTCACCTACCCGCTGAATACTCTCCTAAATATTAATTTCTTAGGAAAAATACGGATGAAAACCAGTAAAACTCTGAGCTGGAACATTGTGAACAGTGGGAAAAGGCGTTTTCTGCCTTCATTTACAGTTATCCCACTGCACATGTATGATTTCTGAATTATAACCCACTGACAAAAAAAACCTGCTTTCTTCAAGTCAGAAAGAGTAACAAAGACAATCCCAGGCATAATCTAGGTCATACCAAAGAATTTTTAAAACGCTGTAATGGACTCTTATACATCATTTCTGTCACTTGCAGCATTTCCACAGGACAAGAGGCTAACTCAGTTTGTAAGGGACCTCAGATCTCTAGTCCCACCCTCTGCTCCGAAGAGTTAGCTAGCCACGAGGTCAGACCGGACTGCTCCAGGCTTACTCACACAGGTCATGCAGAGCCTCCATTTTGTCACACCGAATGCTAACCACTTTGATCGGATACAGAAATAACCTGACGCGGAATTGGACGTTCCTTTAAGTATAGCATTATGCAAGTCTGAGCATTTACCTTTAACCTTCTTATCAAACTTTTTCTGTTTTATCTTCTCTCGGCTGTCACGGCGGAGTTCCTTTGCTTCTTGCAATGATTCTTCACTACCCCAGACTTCAAGAGAACGCTTGATTACCTACAGGATGGACACAAATGTGTTTCTTTTTTCCCCTGAAACGATAAAAATAAACTATTCTAACTCACAGGCACAATTTCCCCCTATACATATGCAAACTAAGTCAAGCCTACCACCAAGAATCCTGTCTCTGCCTCCTATCTCTTCGCCTTTGAACTGCAAATGTGAGCATTCCTTCCACACCGACAGATAGCTTAGGAGATTTGTTTTAGCACCAGCTAGATTAACTTCCTTAAACCAAACCCCCGCTCTGAATTTGTGCACATTCAAGCAAAGCAGCAGCATTCCTGAGAAAAGGAGGGAACGGGAAATTACAGCCTTGTAAAATCGACTTGCTGCTCTCGCTCCCAGGGCAGAGCTGCAGACCCGGGGCCGCGAGCCACAAAGGGCCACAGGCAGCAGCAGCTGCCCCACGCCTTTCAGGTCAGCACTGAAAGGCCATTAACTTTTACGGCCCGTACTTGTGCAAACAGCGGTACCGAGATCTTGGTCCATAAATGTCTTTAAAAGGCCTTAAAACACGGACATTTTCATGAATTTGGCCCATACCTCGCTACTTCGACCATAAAGAAAATTTACACAAGCCAAACTTAATATACCTGGCTTTATCAAAATGACTCAGCAATCAGGACTGAAGTGATAAATTCTGGTCATCGAAGTCACACAAAGGTAAAAAAAAAAAAAAAAAAAAAAGAAAGAGTCTGAAATACTCCAACGGTTTCTATACCTGCAGCTTTAAATAAAGTTTCATGTCACCCCACCGAGGGTTGTGAGGGTTTTTCTTCACAATAAATCTGAGCACTGGCTCCCTCTTGTCTAAGTCACAGTCTTTGAGAAGATACTCTTCTTTGGCTTCTGTCCTTGTTATAAGCTTATGCTTATCTTCAGCATCTCTGGAAGACGTAAAACAATCATGAAAAAGCTACACGTGAAAACTACTTATCGGTTTCTTGAAAACTACTTATCAGTCTCTAAGTCCCCATCCCATCCCCAAGCATTCCTGAAATACCAGCAGCCTTCATCCTCTCAATTTTTAATGTATGCAATTAATTTTGAATTCGAACACTCTAGCTAAACTCTGATACAGGTTTACTGGAATTATGTTAGAAAACCCTCCAATTTGAGCGAATATAAACTGTTTCTTTGTTTCTCTGGAAGGGCTTTTTTGTTTTTTATTTATTTTCTTACACTAGGAATAACTGAAACTTGGGAGATTATGAGTAGCTTTAGGCTATTCACCTAACCCAGATGTAACTCAGAGGACAAAAGTACAAGCCTGACACATGGTCAAGAGAAAAAGAATGTGTAATGTGAGACAGGTCAGATCACCTGAGACAGAATATACACACTCCATATGCTGCTAGATCCCAGAAAGAGATTAGCACACAGAACTCATTTCTAAATGCAATTCAGCAAGCATCGGGAAAGAGTCAAATAAAGACCTTAAAATGCTGCAGTTTTAGCCAGACAGATGAAAAACTGTCTTAACTGCAGCGGCACTCACCAATTAATGGAAAAAAAATTTACAAAATCCTGACTTAAGGACAACTGAAAACTGCTTCATCTGGAACAGTTTGCCAAGCAGGAAGTGCCAGCAACCGTCATCAAGGAAGTAGTGCTGTAAATACAGCTTTACCAAATCTCAAAGTTCATAGTAAAGGCTATTGCACCACCGACTCCTTCAACATTCGGCTGCGAGAGCCACTAGTCCAAAGGGTAACTGCCTTCAAGTCCCCAGGCCCTCTCCTCCCGTGCCTTTTTCCACCCCCGAAGAGGCAGCACTTTGTCCCTGGAGGCGATGAGCTGCCTGTGGCTTACGCAGGCACTCTGCCACTCCACGTGGTTACCTGGGAAGCTCCCCGAACGCACTCGCAGCCATCTTTTCTCCTGCTCCATCCCCTCTCCCACCCGTCCCTACGCTCAGAGGGGTGGGCTGCCTCACCGCCCAGCACTGCCCGGCCATGCCGGCGGCCTCCCGAGCATGCCCCCTGCCTGAAGGCAGAGCAGGGGGCCGCCTCCCTGCACACCCCGCGGGCTCTGCTCTCGGGCTGCCATGTTGCAGGCCCACCTCTAACTTCTGGCTACCCAAAGTTGCTTCACTGCGACAGGGAATTCTCTCCCAGGACCTGCCCCGTGTTATAAAGCAGACACTGCGTTATGCATCCGAGTTAGTTATTTAAACAGTGCCCTCCACCAGGCATGAATTTGCATGCCGACAGGCTCGCTAGCCACTCCCAGACATTGTTTCTAGAACATTACACAAACCTCTACTTAGGTCCTGCATCCAACACAGGCTCATGAGGTGACGCTGCCATTTTTCACTTTCATAATGGAAAATACAGAGGACATCAGTCAACTTCCTCTTACTTTTTCAGTAAGTCTAAAGTTACTGAGAAACCTCTCTGCTGACGGCCTTTTAATTAAGGGCTAATTAACCAAATTACAGCTAGCAATCTTTACACAAAATAAAGCTTCCCTCTCCTGATTATCTGTAATACCTGCAATTATCACAAGTTGCCCAATCAAAGTGCTGCATAAGGTAGGAATCCATGAATTCTTTGCCACAGTCTCCACAGATGAGATAGTCAAATTCTAGCACAGGTGCTAATGGAAAGAAAGATTTTTTTTTTTTAAAAGGAACTACCACCAGGTTGAACACAAACATATGGAATTGGTATCACAAGCAACTTTACTAAAATTTACATTTGGTTTTATACTATTCATTACAGGCTCGTTTAATTCCTCTGTTAAAGTTTTCCCGAAAGATACAGTAAAAATTCAGAACCATCATCATGCAATCCCATCTTTGCTGATAGATTTCATTATATTTTTAATGGAAGGTTCACTGCATTTAGTATCGGATTTCAACATTCGAGAGCACACATTTGTTTCAACTTAACAATTGCTAAGCGAGAAAGAAAATTCCCCCGCATTTCCCCATGAGGTGCTTTATATCCCCTCCTACCGCTTCCTCCCTTCCGGCCCTCAAAGCACGTCCTGATATGCAGGAGACATGCGGGCAGGGACGGGAGAAACCAGAGAAGGGGATGGCGGCAGGGGAGGGTGGCTCGAGCAGGAAGCAGTACAGGAGCCGCACTGGCATTACAATCCAACTCAGCTCTGCTCCAGTTTTCTTCCTAGCTCGGCCACACCTGCCTCTCCCAAAAAGAGCTCAACGGAGGCCTGGGGCAGTTGGCAAGGCTCTTGCGCATTCCAGCTGGCAGAAATGGAGGTGGATGGCCAGAGAGCTGCTAGGAGTGGAATGGGGATGGAGCTCCACTACAATCCTCTCCCCAAGCCCTCTCAGCACTGCTCCAAGCCCAGGCTCATCCCAGTGCCGGCCATCACTCCTGGCCGCATCCTCGCCGGGTAGAGATCACCTCCAGCGTCATCGCCATCTGCTTTATGCTCCATGTGACACCCTGAAACACTGATTCGGGTACCCGCAGCTAGAAGGAACGCTCGTTTGAACAGTGACATTAAAAAAAAAAAAAAATCCTAGCAGAAAATTAGTGGTTTTATACAGTTTTGTAAGCTGAAGAGCAGTAGCGGTGAAGAGCATTAATAATACCTGAAATAGAAAATTAATTCTTGACATGCAACATCATACATTTTTAATAGTGTTTGCATTTATAGCCGATTGAATCTAGCAAAGCCGACATTTTATCCCAATTCAGTCTCGCTAGCGACAGTGGGGCGGGCGCTTCAGCACTTCGCATAGCCATGCTCTTACATCACGTTTCGTAATTTAAAGCAGTACTCCCGAACATAAAGGCATTTTATTAGGACAATGACGTTATGAATTATACAGCAAGAACGACCCCAGTGCAAAGGCATCCCAGATCTACTTTTTTTTTAAAAAAAAGAAAAAAAAAAAAAGAATAGAAGAGCATAAGCCTCTCGAAAGCAGTAAAGGCTGCTAGCCGTTTATACTCTTAACGAAATCCGGTGGTGATTTCTAACAAAGAGATACACTGCACCAACGGCCCTGCAGTTGATTCAGAGCAGAACAAAGCAAGACAAAGACATTCCCAGAGAAGAAAGTGGATCTATTTTTGGATTCCTACTTCTCCATTTGCTTTTTGGAGAGGGAATATCACGAGGCAATATGTCGAAATCCTCCACCGAACGATCAGCAACTTGGCGTCAACGTTTTATAACGATAAAAGCTGACACTGCAGCAGCGCCCAGATCGCGGCATAAAGGCTAGCGAAAAACCTCAGAATTCCCCCACACCGACGGAACCGCGCGAATTTAGGCTTAAATAGGTCTTACAAACCCGAAATCCCGAAAGAAATCACGGAAATAGCGTTTACCGGGGGCTGGGAAAAAAGCCGCTAAGCCCAAGGGCACACGCGGCGTCCCACTTCCGCGGCTTAAAATTCTTCCTTTTTCATCGCGTCTCGCTCGCTCGCGAGCCGCCCGAATACCGATGGATGCAGGCGCGCCAGAAATCGCGCTAATCCAGCGAGACGCGTTGGGGGAAGAAAAGGAGGAGGGAGGGGAAAGGGGTGGGGGGAAGAGGGTGGGAAATGGAGGGAAAGGAAAAAAAAAATGGGGGAGAAAAAAAAAAAAAAAAAAAAAAGCTGCCGAACCCGCCCTGCTCGCTCAGCCCGACCCGGCTCAGTGTCGCCCCCGCGCCTTCCTGCCCGCCCCCGCCAGCTCCACGCACGCGGCGCCGCCTGCTCCTCCCGGCGCCCCGGCCACCTCTTTCCTGCACCGCTCCCTCCAGCCATTATTACCGGGGGGACGCACGATCCTGGCGGCGGCGCTGCCGCGCTCTTCCTCCTCCTTCTCCTCCTCCTCCTCCTCCTCCAGGAAGAAGCCCCCTCCCGTGTCCACGACCTTGGCGGGGGCCCGCACCCGCACGCCGCCTGCGGAAGACAAACGGGGGAGGGAAGAAGGGAGGAAGGGAAGGGAAGGGAGGGAGGGGAGAGAAGGGGAGGGGAGGGAGGGAGGCGCCGCGTTACGCGCCCGCGCACCGGGGCCGGCCCCGCGCCGCCGCCAACAGGGGGCGAGCGCGGGCGCGCGCCCTCCCCCCGCGGCGCGAGGCGGGGGGCCCGCGGCGAGAGCGCGCGCGCGCGCACAGAGCCCCCCCCTTTCCCTCCCCTCCCCCCCCCCCACCCTCACCCCACACGCGTGGTAGCGAAGAGGGGGGGGAAGGGAAAAAGGAGAGGGAAGAAGGAGAAGGGGGGGGGGGGAGAGGCGCGCGCGCGCGCCGCCGCCCCTCCCCCACCTCACTAACGGCCGCGCGCGCGCTGCCCCCCCCCCCACCTCCCCTCCCCCCCCCCACCTCACCTCACCAACCGCCCCCGCCGCCTCGCGCCCAACGGCTGGCGGCCCCCCCCCCCTCCCCTTATCCCCTCAGGACCCCCCCCAGCCCCCCGCCTCGCCTCACGAGGCGCCCCCCAGCCCCGATCCCCATCCCCAGCCCCGCTCCCAGCCCCGTCTCCTCCATCCGACCTGCGGCAGGGTAGGGCCGTGCCGCCAGCCGCGCCTGCCGCAGTGCCAGCGCCCGCTGCCGGTTCCGCTCCATCTTGGCCAGCGCCGCCGCCGACAAGGGCGGCCGCTTCTCCTTCTCCTTCTCTTTCTCCTCCTCCTCCTTCTCTGCTCTCACTGCCGCGGCCATGGCGGCCGTGCTGCGGGCGCCGCGCTCCCCCCCGGCTCCGCCAGCGCCGGGCTCGCCCTTCCCCTCGCCCAGCCGCCGCCGCACTGCGCCTGCGCACAGAGGGAGGCAGGGAGGGGAGCCCCCCGCCCGCCTTCTGCGCAGGCGCGCGGCGCGCGGCCCCGCCCACGCGGGCGCCCCCTCCCCCCCCCTCCTCTCCCCTCCCCAGCCCCGTCCCGCCGCCGTGCGGGGGGTGCCGGGAAACGGGAGGGGGAGGGGAGGGAGGGGTGGGTGGGTTGGGAAGGGGGGGTAAGGGGGGGGTCTGCGTGGCGCCGGGATATGGGGGGGGTGCAGGGGGGTATGGGGGGGGGGAGGGGAGGGGAAGGGGGCTCCGCTGGGGAAGGGGGAGGGGGAGGGGAGAGGCGGGAAGCGGGCGGTGGGGGAGGGGAGCGCATGACCCTGCGATTTCCCCGCGCGCGCCTTTTCGAGGGCTTTCTGCACCCCCCCCCCCCCCCATCCCATCCTCCCCTCAGCACACACCTCACGCCACCCCTCCCCTCCCTTCCCCTCCCCTTCAGCACCCCCCCACCCCCCCCACCCGGCATTATTGAGCAATACGGTGTGAGTTTAAAATTAAAAAAATAAAAATGAAATAAAAATAAAATAATGAAATGAGCGGAACGATGGGAGCCGGGCGGAAGGCGCCGCGCAGCCCGGCTAATGACCCTTTTGTCCTCAGAGCACCACACGGGGCCTCGCCCCGCTCCCAAGATGGAGGGCGGCGCTGCCCCGGCCCGCGCCGTGACGGGGCGGGAGGCCTGGCGGGCCTCAGCCCCCGCCGCGGCCTTTTCTTGCCTCAAAATCCGAAAACTGACCGAAAACCCCACCAAAAATTAAAAAAAAAGCCATTTTTCCCTTCCCCCACCCACAAAACCCCCCAAAATAGCCCCCACCGCGCTCCATTTTCCTCCCCCAGCACGTTCCTACAGCCACCACCCCACCACGCTTCCCCCCAAAAAGAATAAAATAAAAATAATTTAAAAAACCACAAAGCCCACCACGCTTTCTGTCCTGATATCCCCCCACCTCACACTTTCCTCAAAAAAAAAAAAAAAAAAAAAAAAAAAGGATGGTTTATTACCGCGGCCGCCGGCAGCGCGGGTGACCTACAGCGGTCACGGCGATCGGTACCTCATTTTGTTCATTCTTTTCATTTTTTTTCCCTCTTTTTTGTGTTCTTTCTCGGCTCTTAGCGCTTCCCCCGGCGGCTGTGCGCGGCCCAGCAGCCCAAGGCGAAGGAGCCGCGCCGGGGCCCCGCCGCCCCGGTTATGGACGCGGCGCCCGCACCAAGGGCTTTGTCATGCAAATGCCGCCCATACACAGCCACCCCGAGGGGCAGCGGCCCCGGGGCTGCCCGCAGCCCGGCCCCGTCCTTCAGGAGCCGGCAGCGGGGCCACCAGCCCCGAGCTTTGCTCCCTTGGCCGCGGGCCGAGCCGCGGTGACCTTACAGCGCGGCGCCCTCCTCCCCACCCCCCCCCCCTTCCCTCACACAGCTCCCTTGGGGCTCGCTGCCCCCAAATCCCCCCCAAAAAAGCCGCCCCCAACCCCTGCCCGCCTGCCCTGCCCCGGTCTCCCCGCGGTAATTATCATCTCCTGGGTAATTACCTGCACGCACCGTGCCCCTGCCGCCCCGCCAGCGCCGGGTGCCCGCGGCCCCCTCACGTGGGCCCGCTGCTAGTGTCGGCGGCAGCCGGCAGAGTGTGCTGCAAACGCTGCGAAAAGGACGCCCTGCTCCTGGGAAACGACACGTTATATATATATATATTTATATATATATATTTATATATTTATATTTAAACGCGGAGCGAGGCGTTTCAGCCGGCCCAGCTGCTCGCCCCGGCGGCAGGGAGTTCCTCCCCCCCCCCCCCCCCATCGGTGCTCCCCGTGCCACAAATTGCCCTCACGCATTTTTGGTAACCTTCAGGGTTTTAATCCTCAAGCCCTCCGCTCCCACCGAGGTTTCTGACAAAGTTGGGAAAGTGCCGCAGTGCACATGGCCAGATGCGCCTGGCAGCCAGGCAGCCGGGGCTAGCGGGAGGCATTTTGGGCGATGAAAAGCACAGGGAGCGGTGCTGGCCTGCAGGGAAAGAGCCTGAGGGACGGTGTGGGGCGAGCACACACTCCTCCAGCCTCACTCCTTTAAGCTTTCCTAAAGATGGACCTGCAAAGAGATCGGCAAACACGCCACAAGGCATTGACATGAAAGTTGCTTGAAGCCCGGTGTTTACTGGGTGGCTTGGAAGTTGAACTGTTTGCTTGGGAAACAAGCACGTGCGCTTGGGTGCCCTTCATTTTCCCCCCCTTCACTCTATGGGAGGAGAAATTCAGGGAGAAGTTAACTTCTGAGTTGTGCCTGGGGGTTGGCAAATGGTTCGATACGAGCCACACATCAAAACTGCGTTAAAACGTAAAGTGTGGGACCATGCAAAAAAAAAGGGGGGGGGGGGGGGCTTCAAGGGTAGAAGGATATTGTTATTATGCAACCAAATCAGAATTAGGATTAATAGGAAATTAGAACATATAAACAAAAGCAAATTCAGAGGCAAGGCACTTAAGCAAACTAAGCCATGGGCCACAGTGGCTCATGCAATGCAGCTAGTGCTTGATTAAGGGGAACTGTTTCAGAAGCATATGCTACATATTTTTTCTTAGTTTTTCATTTCTTCTTTTCTTTTTCTCAGGGTCAGTCTGGCTAGGCAGTCAGAACAGACTATTCTCCCCAACTCTGCTTCCTCCCAGAATGAATCAAATGCAATGCTTCTAATTTTCCTGGCTGGGAAAAGGCAGTAGGACAGATAGCGACACATTCGCAAGGGTTTGCAGACTGTCTTGTATGCACTCTTTTAGTCATGTGTTAGTACTCATGATATTAAACATGCACAGCCTAATGGGTGCACAGGATTTAATCATAATTATAACCATGTTTTAGAGAGTTTTTTCAGGTGCTGTGTGCCAAGCAATTCTTGGTATTACTTGGCCGCTGGTAGCCAATAGCAGCCATCATTAATCAGCAAGTGCAGACATGCATTAATTCATACCCATGGTGAATAGCATCAGTGAGTAGCTGAGTGTGGGGAGCCAGCAAACCAGTGGCTTGACAGCTCATCATTCCCTTGGAGAAAAGGGTAGGGAGCAAGATAGGAATGTCTGCTGACAATACAAAGCTTTTTTAAGTTAGCAAGAATGAGGGTCATCTGTAAAGAATTGTGGGTGGCTAGGCAGCAAGAAAAGATTAAACTCAGGGTAGATAAATGTAACGTGATGCGTTTGGGGAAGCCTAGTCCTAAGTTTGCATAAATGACGGCGATATCTGAATTGGTTGCAGCCATAATTATATATATATATATATATATATATATATATATATATATATAATTTTTTAATATATATAGTTATATTTATGCTGCCCCACAAATCCATGATGAGCTTGCACCGTGAGCGCTGTATCCAGTTGTATTTCCAGCTTTTCAGAAAGGATAAACTGGAAATGGGTGATAAACTATTTGGCATTGCCTCCCTTGAAAACAAAACAAAACAAAAAAATCAACAATCGAGTAGGCTTGTACTCTTCACCCAGACAAGAAATTACCTGGAAAGGATAAGCCTGAGGCCTACCACATCCTAGGTGATTATGAGGGGATGGATGGCCATTGACTTTTGGAGCACACACCATCAGATTTGTGGTGGTAGGCTCTACACAAACCTGAGGAGGTTGTTCATTCCTCCCGCAGTGCCTCTCTGCATGACTGTGCGCTGCACAGAAGGTGTTTCTCTGGCGCCTGGGGCAGATGGGCCAAGTATTTGGAAGAGGTCTGTGCTTATCATAGTGAATGAACACCCCCTCAGGCTCCGGAAATCCCCTGAGCTGAATATAGTTGGAGGCTGTGGGAGTGTTGCAGAGGAGGTATCATGTATTTGCCTCATTTCTCCTCTTCCCTCAGTGTTTGCCCATGCCCAGTGGTGGAAATGGGGCAGATGGATTCATTATCCAAGACAGCAAGCCTCTTCCTTATAGTCACTGAGAATCATGCAGTAGCTGATATTTAGATATTTAGATACCTGGGGCCACACAGCAGCCATAATCCTGTTTGCTGGGGTCTTTCAAACCAGCTTCAGCATTCATCTGTGTTGGGAATTACCTGCAGAGCAGCTGCTGTGCTGTATGTTTACATTTAGACTCACGATATACTTATTTCTCTGTGTCCACGAAGTCGTAATACCAATCTGCATTCAGACACATACCTACAACATAACTTTTTTTTTTTTTGTCCTCTTTCAGTAAAAATATTTGTTCCATGAGAAACAGATCCAATAACATCGTATTTCCAATGGGTTTGTCTTTCAAAGGGAGTGGCGCTGCAGAAAAAAAAAAATCACATTTCAGCTCTCTCCCCTCTCCCTCTGATGGTTCAGGTGGTAGCATGAATTTTAGCCGCATTTGAGTTGTGTAGTCAGCAGCTGACCAGCCAATACACACACTCTGATTAAATGGTTGGCTGCTGCCTCCTAGCATGACTAAGGGATTGGATTTTGCCCAATGATTTCAAGTGTCTTTATGGGAGAGAACTTCTTGCCTCCTTGGGGATGCAAGGCAAAAAATACCATGCCCTCTGAGATTATATTTCCATCAGGTTTCTAATTTGCTACACCTTTATCTTACATTATCTTAAATAAATAGAAGGCAAAGCATTCCTTGTGTCTTGGTGAAAGAGGAGAGTGTGACGTAGGAAAAATGAAGGGAGCTTGTTAAGGCCAAATACAAGTGCACCTGCTTGGGTTTGTACGTTCTCTTTCTGAATTCACCTATGCCATAGCTCAGAGATAGGCAGTGAGTCATCCTCTTGGACAGAATGGGACATGCAGAGTAAATTAAGTTTGTCATCCCTCTGTGAGATCTCCTCATTTGTTCACGAGCTGTAGGAGGGGATTTTCATAGTAATGTGACCTGTCTTCATGCTCCATTTATCATCTCCCAACTGATGTATATAATCTTGACTGAGCAGGTAGATAATGGAGGAAGCACGGAGAGCATTGAATGCTTGAGCAACAGATCTGAAAAGCACAGGTAGGCAAGAACTGGAGTGCAAACGTTTACAGGCCAAAACTGGCATTCTTCCCTGACAGGAGAGCCTAATGCAAGTTTGTTATTATTTTCCTGTTACAGAATATGACAGAATGTGAAATTACAAATTAAATCTCTTTTATTTGCTAGCATTTTTCATGACTTTTCTGTTTTATTACTTTTCTTGAGTAGGACTTTAATGTGTTTGCTTTTAATAGCGAAGAAGATAACCAGAAAACGCTGGTTTCACATCCATGAGCAGGCAAGTGTCAAGGCGTGATGAAAAAATGTTGCTTGCTTTTTATAGTTCCAGAGATCACCACAAAGCTGACTACACACTTCTGTTGCTGGCTGGCAGTCCAGAAAGAGAAATCCTCTTCCACTGCTTTACCAGGAAAGCCCATCTCCCACCCATACAAAGAATGGGAAAACGTGGCAACACAGCAGACGTGCTCTGCAACTGCAGCGCAGCAGCCCCTGATGATTTGGTAATAACTTCAGTGCAAAGAGTAACAAAGCAGTAGAAAGATATATATATATATTTATGAAACCAGGGCACTGGGAGTTTTTTTCTGGGTCCCAGTCTGGGAGCAGCACTCCACATGGGCCCTCACAAGGGCAGAGCAGAGCGGGGCACTCATCTCCTCGCCCTGCTGGTCACTCTTCCCTTGGTGCAGCCCAGACTGCAGTTGGTCTTCTGGGCTGCAAGCGCACCCTGCTGGCTCATGCCGAGCTTTTCCTCCACCAGAACCCACAGTTCTCTCTCTCAGAGCTGCTCTCAGCGAGTCCTTCTCCCACTCTGCCTGTCCTCATGCCTGGAATTACCCTGACCCAGCTGCAGCATGGTCCCAAGGCAGACCCCTGAGGGACACCACTCGTCACCGGCCTCCACCCCCCCCTTCCCCAAATGCACAGGGCTTGCAGTGGGTAGGGACACTCACAAACCACGTAAAAGGGATGTGTGAGCTGGTAGATTTATTTCTCTCTCAATATTCCTTTTTTTTTTTTTTTTTTTTTTTTTTTTTTTTTTTTTGTCAGTTATTTAATGCATTCAAAGAAGCTTTTCCATAGCAACATAGAAACTTTGCCTAATGCTTTAATTACTTCTTTCTTTCTATTAAGAGCAGCTCAGGCATTTCTGAGACAGAAAATCAATACATCATCAATTACACTAATCTCAGGGACATGAGATCTAGCTGTATTGATGATGAAAGGCTGCACATTCTGGGGAAAAGTGTAGACTTCTGGCCTTCCTGAAGCATTTAAGGAGATTCACAATGTAAGCATTTATAAAGAAACTTCAGGTTTCTGCTGCATATAATTCAAAGTACCACACTCTTTTTAAAAATGATACTATAAAGAGAATCTTTCTGTGACTGCTTCCAAGTCAGCTTCAGTTGTTCCTGTCTGCAGAGTAGCTGGAAGAGAAAATGATGAAACAGCTGATGAAATCTGCTGTAGCAAGAAAATCACGTCCCAGTTTCCAGGATTCAAGCAAGATGCAACTCTTCCAGCACTTGCAGATCTCTGCAAAACGTTTTGGTGCTGTCAACCATGGGTTTGATCAGATAACATTCCCTAAAATTTGGTTTCCGGCTATTAGCAACAAATGGGATGACTTCTTCCCACATGCGCCCCCAGGCCCCTGTTCTGCTCTTCAGGATGGACGCTACCGGGAACTGAGGCT